ATCACATCGGAAGATGTCATATTGGAAACTTTACCGGGTTTATCTGACATATTCTTCGAGCTGGGTGGATCAAGAACTGAGAGCCTTCGGCGCTTCGAAGGAGGGAGATAGAACTGGTCGTTTGAGAAGCCGCCACTAACGGTACACGGCGGCGAGAACTGATCGGCATAGTGATGCATCAATGGCGCAGAAGCGCCGGTTGGGTAGCCCACTACGAGGGTATTCAACGAAGCGACGTCGTATGCCGCCAGGACTACGGTGGACTAAGCCCTCGAATAAACAAGGCTGTCTGAGCGGGGGTCGAGTGAATGGAAAGAATAAGATTAAAACGAGGTTCTCCGGCTTGCGGTAGGCTTTTGAACGACGGCGAAGCAAGCGGTTGAATGCTATCTTCGCGGCTATCAAGCTAGCTTTCACTTTGTTGTTTCCGGCAATTCCGTAGGTAAAAAGCTACCTAGTTGAGAGGCTATCGGGCAACTATTTTTGAAGCTGGGACTCGATGGTGGGGAAAGTAAAGATGTTCGTCTGAACCAGGCGAGAAGGCTCGGTATGGCGCGCTGCATGCGGCTAGCCGTCTATCTCATGAACGGGCTCAGGTACAGGATCTTAGGAGATGCACCAGGTGTCTCGGATTCTGATCGAGACAACACCAGCTGATTGGAAGCTTCCGGTTAGGCGAATCTGTGGTGTACCGTTGCAGAATGGTGCGTGGTGCTAATTTATGATTGGGGCCAGGATCTCGGATCTTTCCCCTACTCTTATCTCTATTCTTCTCTTTTACCGAGAAGTCTAGAGTTAGGCCAGATTAATATCTAGAGGAAGGTGAGGTAGAGTTAAAGGGGCCCAAGAGAAAACACATCCGTATAGACGGAGTTAAGATCCAATTATAGGACGATGGTTTATAAGTTGAAACGAGTAGGTGAGGTACCTAAGGAAATATAAGCTAATACGAAGCTGCTGCTTGTTCTCTAGGTACCTACACGTAACAGTGTGACAGATCTAGGAGGGGGAAGCGCAATGACAAAAAAGGAGCACAGCCTCCGTTCAAGATGGTTTCTGGCTTGAGTGCTGGTATAGATAGGTACCTCTTAGGTAGGTACTTAGTAGGATGACGACAATGACCTTTGAATAAACAATTAGAGCCTAGCTCTCGATATGGGTTATTATTAGCGTACCGGAAGGGAGAAAACGAGACAACTTAAATTAGACAGCGGCTTGATATTGGAACGTGATCATCTACCACTTGTATTTTGGCCGGTTCACAGTCTGTCACCTGCTAGTAGTGGCCGCGAGGGCTCTGCTATATTTTCTAGAATCAATAGGGACCTGGAATTCGGTCTCGTGCAAAAAGGCTTTGGGGCTGATCGGTGGTCGACCACCAATTGAGCATACAGGGGTAGCTTTTGGTGTGAGATTCTCTTCAATGCCAAACACCCCCCTGGTCGTATTTTCTTGCCTTTCACATTGTTAGTGGCCGCTGTAGCTGGACGTAGATCGGACTGGGGGGGTTCGTTAACCAACCATGTCGATCAGGGCTGGCCTCCCACGACTCATGCCCTTTTTGGGTGCTGAGCAGGACCCCACCGCCCTAGATATGGTAGCATCCCGCACTCCGTGATAAGTATCTTTTGTCAGAGAAGTGCTTCGGCTTCAGTTGCTTCCAGGAGGAAATTGGACGTACCGAGATTCCGGGGAGCCCTAGCGGATATCCTTTTAGATATCGTCCGAACAGGGAATATCCGTTTGAATACTAGGAAGGCTGCAACACATAACTAGGCAAAAGTTGCGAAGCGTACGTAGACGTGGGATGACTAGGTGCCAATGTACCGGACCCTGCCAAGCATTCAAGCAGGGAGCTAAACACTGATATCATACCGGTTATCGTTTTATATGCTCTAAACATATGAACCTTTAGGTTAGACATATGCAAATCTGGCCGATTTACTTAAATAACTCGCTAAAGACGGTACGGCAGGCTAAAAGTCTGCTTCACTTGGATATCATGTCGGTACGTGAAAGTAAAAGATGAGATTGTAAAAGTGGCTGTGAGCGCAGAAGCACCTATAGCCCGTACCCACAGTTGTTTCGCTGATGTTTGATTGGGATAGCTTTCCGTTTCAACTAACAGTGTGATCGAATCTGGGCGAGTCTCGGCAGCGAAACGAACCCCTCTGCTATTCGGCCTGTGCAAATGATACCATAATAAGGCAACGCTAATCGAGTACCCCCTCACCAGCCCTGTAGCGTTAATAGCTACCCAGAGCTATGTCATGAGCCTTATATTTAGTTATTTATGTGCGCGACACGGTGATGGTACGGTATGAGTCCGTAGCTGACTCGCTAATTGCAAGCCACCAAATGTCCTTGTTTAAGCAAATCCGAGAAAAGAGCCGACGTGAACTTCCAGCGGCCAGCCTGCAGGCCATAATGCGACATGGGCAATATCATGGAAATACCTGGATATTGACAAGTGCCTTGACAAGTGCCCTGCCATATGCGTGCTGCGGGTAACTGCTTGCATCTATCATGCTGTCATTGGGGCATTTCTGTGTCACAAGCTACATTGTTGTATTCTTCTAGGAACGATGATAATTTGCGGGCTTACCGGAGAAATGTGTAGTCCATTGAGCGGAGAAACAGCTGACCGAAGTACTCGTAACTCGTACTGTAATGCTTCTCCAAGCAGCCTACATATAGAGGGAGTTTTAGGAGAGACATTCAGCGCTCGACAGTCTGTGAACAGTAACGCTCATTTACTGTAAACCAGTAGTTGCACTGGATGGAAGATAATAGTAATAGTAGTAAAGTGAATGCAACGCTCTGCCACAGTCATTATACCAACGGCAGATAGCCACGTGAAGATTGGATGAATTCATCGGGGAGTAGGTTGTAAGTTGGTTGGGTAAAAAGATGATAAGTTTCCCTTCAGAACTTACACGCGGTTTAGCGTCAGGTACACAATACTACATGTATGTAAGCATATATTGAGTTATACCATATCTACCCCACAACCCCGCGAACTTTAATAATACAGGTATCTTCGATAAGGTACTGACACTACCTATACAGCGCCTGATGCTGGCAACTTTTAACGAATACTTTTTTTCGTCAATATGCGGCTCGGTTGGCAAAATTACAATATTTACCTATTAATAGCCCGAAATTACTTCATACCATTACCAACTAGGTATATACACACCCTCATTCCCGTGCTGGAGAAGAATATCTATTATTTACTAGGCGCCTAAGTCGTGATGGTATGCTGAATTGTCGACCATGACTAAAACAGTTCTCCAGACAGTCTCCTATTCGCCACATTAGGTGGTGGTGAGTAAGGGGAATAGGCCTCCCATATCAAGCATTTCGAGGACCGGCATCTCTTAAAATCATGTCTCAGCACCAGCCTGCACAGCCTAAGTCAGTCCTTCGAGGACATCGTACCCAGGTGCATGTCACTACCTTCGTTAGGAGCAACCAAAGACTAGCATCTGGAGATGCAGATGGATTCGTGGTACTCTGGGATCTTACCATCATGCGTCCCCGGGCTGTCTGGCGCGCTCACACAAACGCTATCCTCGGCATATCCGACTGGGGAGACGACAAGATAATCACGTAGGTCTAGTCTCATGTCACAGCATATACTCCTCCTATATCTATCTCCTATTTAAACCTGATTCCGCAATGGGCTGCCACGTGGCTGAGAAGCATCTCTCAGACATGGCAGAGACAACCGCTTGGCAGTATGGAAACTTGGACTCCAAGATGAGATTACCATGAGCACCGCTCTGCCGCTCGACGAATCCGTACCTGAGAGACCACAACCATGGATACTGCATATACTCCATGTGAATACTATGAACTTCTGTTCTTTTGCGTCCTGTCCTACGGCACCAAATCCCACTCACGACGAGCTCTTCATTGCTGTGCCTAACACGCTGGAGACCGAAGCTGTAAGTCTACTATCCTTCTTTGTTCCTCCCCCTTTTCTGGAACATCCTCTAGTGTTTCTACTCACTCTTCAACGTAGGTTGACATTTTCCAACTTCCAAGCCAGAATCGGCTACACACCGTTAATATAGGGGGTAAGACGGAGAAGAAAGGCATGGTTATGTGTCTATGCCTATTTTGGCATCAAGGGTATCTAACTCTCCTCGTTGCCTATGAATCCGGCCTTGCAGTAGTCGCGCGACTTGGAAGAGGTGGAACGTGGGACATATTATACAGAGCACAAGTGCATAGTCAACCGGTGCTCTCACTCGATTTAGATCCCCTCAAAGGTTATTTCCTGACTTCTAGTGCTGATGCTATTATCGCAAAGCACCCGGTTCCTACCGCAACTTTCCCTATCCGGGAGTCACAACATCCGGAGAAGACAGCTGATAAGAATGCCGAAGCCTCGAGCTCGTCGCTACTATCAGCTGCACTTTCGTCAGAGCCGAAGCCCGAAATACCCCCGAGACAGGAGAAGCTGGCTATTGAAACGAAACCCCTGAAGACTATCAATACTAAACACTCGGGACAGCAAAGCTTGCGCATCCGATCCGACGGTAAGATTTTTGCGACCGCGGGATGGGACTCGAAAGTCCGCGTCTATTCGGCCAAGACCATGTCCGAACTGGCAGTGCTGAAGTGGCACGACGTTGGCTGTTACGCAGTTGCTTTTGCAACGTTAGATGACGGCCAGACATCAGGCTCCCCGAAGCGAGACGTTGGTAATGTTGAAGTTAGTGAAGGATCCCAACCCGAAGTGGTTGCTCCCAGTACTCCAGTTAGCCAAAAGCCCACCACGATGATCGCGTCTAAGCTAGGCCAACTCAGCGTTAAGGATCGACGGATTAAGATGGCAAAAGAGGCCCATTGGTTAGCAGCTGGTAGTAAGGATGGGAAGATTAGTTTATGGGACATCTATTAAGAATCACTTCTACTCTCCGACAGAGCTTCACGACGTTGAAAGCGATCTATACCCCTATTTCTTTTTTATATCAGCACTATAACGTGAGTAATTAATTTCATAGTTATTGCTATGTGGACTAAGCAATGACCTAGGTTTAACAATGATGGTATATTCTTTCTTATCGTTATAGAGTCTCAGATCGTCGATCCTAATATGTATTCTATAGTCTATACGTCTGCCTTCTAATGCTTATGTTGTTGCAGTTTTGGCGTCCTGGGTAATTAGTCCTTCCTTGGTATCCTCCTTCATAGCCGCATCCAGTTCTGCCTCAGCAGGCGGGACTACTATTCCATATTTTTCATATGGAAAGTTGGTTAGGTCAGCGTAGTAGTCGGCCCATCCGTCGCCAATATCTCCTAATTGGTGCACATCAATATCGCCTGCCTCACCCATACGTCCAGCCAGGATCTCTGGTTCTCGGCCTTCGTATTCCTTCTTCAGCATCGGGTGAGGGCACCATACTACTCTCATGCCTGCTCGTCTTCCGGCTTCGACTCCTGGGACGCTGTCCTCAAAGACGAGGCATTCTTCAGGTGTAATTGGTTTTTCGCCAGCCTCGAGGCTATCGTTGATAGCCTTTAGTGCAAGGAGGTAGATATCCGGGAGGGGTTTCCCTCGGCCGGGCTGGATGCGCTTGTCATCGCCTAGCACCCTTCGATGGGATTCGAACACGGAAAATAATTCGGTCCATTTGGAAGTTTTGACTGTGAAATTAGAAGTAGTGCTGCTGGTCGCCAGCGCAATATGGACTCTTTGCTGTTTCTTTTCACCACTCTCTCCTTTATCCCCGTTCCTAACGCCTTCTTCATCCTTTATATCCCACCAACGTGTCCTTCCCAGGTCCCCAAGCAACTTTTCTACACCTGGTAAAGGCTTTGCGGTTGGGAAGTGCTGCTGCTGTAAAGCAGTAAGCTGGGCAAGGTAGTCGGACTCTTCGACGGGCAGCTGGGCCCATTCGTGAAAGAGGGCATTTGCTTCAGGACCAGGTCGGCCTTGCAATCTAGCCTTGATAGACCAGGGCAGCGTACTTTTGCCGTATTTTTCGAGGATGAGGTTTATGCAGAGTGTATAGAGATCTTCGGTGTCAAGAAGCAGACCGTCCATGTCGAAGAGGCAGGCTCTTATGGGCGGGAAGCTTTAGAGGAAAGCTGTTAGTCTTTACTGCCGTAACTATTTGCGAACGGGGGTTGACTTGCTCTGTGCGGGGCGCCATCGTGTTTGATTATGATATTGAGGAGATGCTGTCGTATGTAGTCCGTTTAACGTGTAGTACCTGAATCTCTTATGGAGATTCTTGACTTCAAACGTGAAGTTTGATCTCAATGGTCTAAGTCTCGACTTATATGTATGCGAATTTCTCTTATTATTGATTATGAGGTACCTACCCCCGCCTGGAACATTTAGATAAGAGGTACCTATTCAACTCTTCTGGTTGAATTTATGGCGGGGCAGTCTGCGGGGTAACTCTCCGACCGCGCAAAACAGGGCTGACAGGCACCGAGCCGTAGGTTTCTTCAGGGGCAGAGGGGTAACATAAGGTTCTTATACATGTATCTGCATAATAAGCGGAGTAGCCTTGGTGGGTGCATATCAGCTACGAATTTCTTACCTCATACATGTACGTTACGTAAAATCAACTGCTTTCTACCAAAGTTTAAGTTCGAGTTAAGATCTTGTGATCGACTCTTCATTGACTCTTCATTGAACGTACGGAATCTATCTTCAACTCTCAAGTCTTTCATCATAAAACTATGGCCGGCTCACCAGAGACGGCGGGGAAGGAACCTGATAAAACCACAATAGATAATACAAGTCAAGACGCCGAAGATGAGTTGACAGCTCCCGAAAGGTTTCCGCCCGAGGAAGAAGCTGTACGTGTATCTTTCATCTATACATAAAATATATATTTTCTAGCATTTTTGTCTGATTATCTTATGTCTATCCTATTCTATAGAGCCTTTTAGGGGAATCCAACGATAAAAAGTCCGAAGCGAACGCGCTGTTTGCCTCAGCCAAGTACGAGAATGCTATTACGAAATACGAAGAAGCTGCTTCGATTTGCCCACATTACTTAGATTACGAGCTTGCCGTCTTAAAATCCAACATTGCCGCATGCCATCTGAAACTGGAGCAATGGAAAGAAGCTATCAAGGTAGCTACCGATTCCATCAACGGCTTGGATCGCCTAGAAAAGGCCGAAGCTAGCCAGAAGGAGAACGAAGAAAAGCAAAAAGAAGCAAATACCGAAGAAGATGAAGTTGAAGAGGAGATCGTCAGCTCAGGGGCTCAAAAAAGCGCTCCCGCCGTAAAGGAGGAAACCGCCGCCGAGGTTGAGAGGCAGAAAAGGCGCAATGACATCCTTAGAATTAGAGCGAAAGCTTTGATGAGACGAGCTAGGGCAAGGAGCGAACTCGGGGGCTGGTCGAATCTATCTAGTGCCGAAGAAGACTACAAGACACTATCGACCATGCCAAATCTCAGCGCTGCGGACAGGAAGATTGTCCAAACGCAATTAACAATCCTTCCTTCAAGAACGAAGGCCGCCCAGGAGAAGGAGATGTCAGAGATGTGGGGGAAGTTGAAGGACGTGAGTAACAACCGCCGAATAAAAGCGTGTCTCGTATTGGGTTTAGTTGCTAATCAAATACGTACAGCTTGGAAACGGAATATTGAAGCCCTTTGGTCTCAGCACGGAAAATTTCAACATGGTAAAAGATGAGAAGACCGGTGGTTACAGCATGAACTTCTCTCAGAACGGCGCGAGTCAATAATACAGATACTAGTATCACTCATCACCCTAATACAATATAATACAATGCTCTACTACTAGATCTAAACGTGTAAGATTAATTTCATATTCTCTAAAGCTGTTAGCGATGATATTAAGGGCAAAGTATCTCCCGCATCCTGTGCTTAGTTATCTTCCCATTTCCTTTCGTCCTTCAGTGGATTACTCCCAACTGTAGTGAGGCTCTATTTTTCTCCATCAAACCAACATCACCATCCTAAATTACGTATTCCTTGTCATTGACACATAAATTCGGGGGAACAACAAATGTCGTGATAAATTCATGCCCAACAACATATTTGATCGTAGTCATTAAGAAGCGGGTTTATATTTCACCCTTAGGCCCATCTCATCTAGTTTACGGCGAAGCAGTCTTCTGACAAACTACCTAGTAAGGAGTACGGCACCCGGTCATATAATAAATATTCTTGAGATGGCCAATGAGAAGCTCTAGTATAGATCTACGTCAATTACTACGCTGAATCAAGCCCCACCATTAGTGTTACGTTTGGTTACATGAGACGACGTGGTAGGACATGTTCATCTTTACCGGGCTTTATGTAAGTGATCGAGGTCCCGTGATTCGGCTTATACCTACGAAAGTTGTTAAACGGCTATGCCGTCCGGACCCAGCCTTTTTACATGGGGTTGACTTATCGTACACTTGACTGTGCCGTATCGCTATCTCACGGAATATCTCTGCAGCTACGACGTAGAGTTACCACCCATACGCTGATAAACCTATTGGATCATATATCACCCGCATGGCTTATCGCAAAGTAGGAGAGTATTATATATTCTTTAGTATCCCGAGATAGAATTTCAGTTGGAGTATAGTATCTCATGGTTAGAAGCACCCGCAAATTTAGTACATCTTACACTTAAATTGCGAAATAATTCCTTATCATAACCCATCGCTAATATGGCTCCAGCCACGGTCACGATTGCCAACGGAGCAACATGGCAAGACGTAGCAGCCGATCGTCAACGACACAGGGATGCGACAATCGCAGAGGTCAGCCCGCCGGTACCGGAAGTGCGCCAGGAAGAAATCCCTCTTAATACTACAGGAATCCCGAAGAAACTTCTAACGGAGCAGGAAATCGAAATAACCAATACTGATGTCGAGAATCTCGCCAAGAGGATAACCTCAGGCGAATGGAGCTCGGTGGTAGTGATCAATGCTTTCCTGCGACGTGCCGGCCTAGCACAGAAACTCACGAATAGTATCACGGAATTATTGCCCAAACGAGCTTTGTCCAAAGCTGCCGAGTTGGACCTGTACCTGGCTGCTAACAAAAAGCCTATTGGCCCGCTCCATGGCGTTCCTATCAGTGTTAAGGAGCATATCGCTATTAAGGGTGAAGACCTAAACGCCGGATTTGTGGGCTGGGTCGGCCGAGTCGCTGAGGAGGACGCGTTGATCGTTCAATATCTGGAGAGCGCTGGGGCGGTGATCTTTGCGAGAACGACTGAGCCGCAGACTTTGATGCAGATTGAGACGGACAGTAATCTATACGGGTAAGACACAGTTACACTAATACCACCATGATGAGTGCTCGTAAAGATGGTTCTCTAATTAGCTAACAATTGCCTAGAATCACCGTGAATCCCTACAACAAAACCTTGAGTTCCGGTGGCTCATCGGGCGGAGAAGGCGCACTAATCGGGCTTCGGGGCTCGATCCTTGGAATCGGAACGGACATCGGTGGATCCATCCGCGTCCCTGCAGCCAACAACGGGCTCTTCGGCTTCAAGCCCACGACCCTGCGATTACCAACCGCAGGCTGGTCCGCTGCCATGGCGGGCGCCGAGTCTATCCTCGGGACCACCGGTCCTATTTCAACCAGTCTCGAGGGTCTCCGGGTTTTCACCAAGTCCATCATCGACCAGAAGCCTTGGCTGAAGCAACCGAGCCTGGTCGGCTTGGACTGGAGAGACTCGGCGCAGTATTATCCGAATAGAAAACTTAGGGTGGGCGTTATTTATAACGACGGCGTTGTGAGGCCACATCCGCCTGTACTCAGGGCGCTCAATGAGTTTGTGGGAAAACTGCAGAAGAGCCCGGATATTGAGGTTGTGGAGTGGAAGCCGTGGAAACATGATTTGGCATGGTCTATCATCGTGCGTTTTATCCCCCTTCATACAGGATAGCTCGTATTAGCTATCCCTTTAGATAGGTACCTAATATAGTTACTAACACCAAAACAGGCAAAACTCTACTACGCCGACGGCGGCGCCGACGTAAAAGCAGCCGTCGACTCCTCCGGCGAGCCCTGGCGCCCCTTAGCCAAATTCATCCTCCACGAGAACCCCCACGTAACCACCCACACGATCCCCACGCTTTGGGATGCCGTGTCCGAGCGCGAGGCCTACCGCACCGCATACGCGAACCTCTGGAACGCGCACCCCGTCGACGTGATCCTGTCACCCGCAGGCCCTAGCGTGGCGAGTAAGCACGGCACCGGCCGCTATTGGGGATACACCTCGCAGTGGAATCTGCTTGATTACCCGGCCATTGTGTTCCCTACGACTGATGCTGTAGGGGATGCTGCGCGCGAGGGGGAGTACGAGTACCCGGGGGGTTATGAGCCGCTGGGCGAGATGGATGGGTATGTGTATGGGCTATGGAAAGAGCATGGCGCGGAGGGGTATAGAGATGCGCCGATTTCGCTGCAGCTTGTTGGACGGAGGTGAGTGGACTAAGAGTTCCCCTTTTGTTCATTGATGGTTGGACTAACGTGTGCGTCTATAGGTTTGACGATGAGAAGTTGTTTAGGGCCGCGCAGATCCTACTCGAGGAAGCTGGGTTGCCGGCTGCTGTTCCCACGTAGGGGGGCTATTGGGATGAGGGCTGATCTATCTCGAGCTTAATACCGGCTTTTCTTTTCAAATATGCAGTGGTTTTATGTTGATTTATGGCTTAGATAGGTACGTAGCGAAGTAGCCTACTGCCTAATTCTTAAGAAACCTTGATTTTGGGGATCTTGGGCTTACAAAAGAATGTGTTTTGTAGTTGACGTATCTTAGAGCTATATGTTGAGCCTAATGAACATGGACTTTGTAGTGCTTCGGAATTGAACGGGAATCCGATGAAAAAGGTGTACTTATTTCTAGCTCACGATAGGATGCTGGATGTATAAGGACCAGTTCGACTGAGACTTTAAGAGCCGTGACGATTGTTTGGCATAGCTAGAGATAGCAACTATCGGCCATACGCGAATCTCTATTTCATCGAGTAAAATTTCCACATTATATTAATATAAACGCGGAACGTGGGATTAATATTTATCGTCCGTCTACCCAGTTGCCGCTTTACTCTTGGCGAGTAGACTCTTGACCTTCCTCGCTTTATGATTCTAGAGCTAAGGGCATACTCAAACATTGTTGGTTAAATTCCCTTTAGCATTCCATACCACTTTGACGGCTCTTACTTCCTCACGAGCAATAAAATAATCCGCCGTCCAACGAAGATATAATCTTTTCCGTCTAAGGACGTCCGGTAGCGGCTGATGTAAGGGATTGCTAGCCGGATGGCGCTCCAATGAGTCGGTGTATACTTCTGGATATTGCCGTCCCTTTGATGCGCCTTCGCTCGGGCACACCTCATGCTTATTTCGAAGATCCCTTAAGCTAGACATATTATTGTATCTTTATAGCGGTAGTATCGTGGGCGTACAAAATAACCCTTAGGGTGACGACCTTACTGTACGGTTTTGTGCGTTTAAAAGCCCAACATATGTGAGTGCACAATATGACTCTTCGAAATCCAATCAATATTGGTTCTCAAACAAAATAGTCCCGGAAGTCTGCCAAATCTGATATTAGATACGCCAACGTAGGCGTCGGTACCATGTTCGAATATTGTTAGGTATGGCGCATATTGAAAGTTGCCAAAAGTAAATCCCCTTAAAGCTTTTCCAGGAAATGCGGCTTGAACTTCTTGTTCGCGCGATCAGCCGACCGGTACTGAAATTGATCTCCATGAATCTCGAAGGTAAAGGGTTTTCGGTCCTCGGCCGAGGCTATAGTATTCTCCTGCTGCACTGGGGGGACGCTGATGCGAAACATAGTCCCCTCCTTTGGCACAGTTTTTATCTGGTTTTTCGCGGTAATAATTTCAAAGACGAAGCGCGCATCTTTGATCACAATCCCTTGTATGCCAACGCGACTAGGACAACTACTGCGCGACACTTCCACCTTAGCACCATGGAAGTCGGCAGCGCTTAGTTTGGCAGCAGCGCCCTGTCCCCCAGTGTATAGCTCGCTACCAAGCACTTCGCGGATATAACCTAGCCATAGCTGGTTCAGCGGCTCGAATACGGCATATTTTTGACCTGATTTGGGGACGTCGTAGAGACCAAGCTTCCGTCGCTGTCGTGCTGATAGGGGTTTTGGCTTTAGAGCTTTCAAGCGCCTTTGCTTCTCGACTCGGGACTTGCGTCGAGCGTCGCGGGCGTTGGACGGAGGTGGAGAGGTGGGCTTAAGGAAAAGAGGTCTGTGTTGGATCTTATCGGAGTAGATGCGGTTTACACTGTCGGGACTGTGCGCTCGCGAGAGTAGTTCGTGGGTTAAGGATTGGTTGGTGCTGTTATTGGTATTGTTTGACGCCATGTTGTCGCTGTCCGCATCGTATCTCGATCTAGCGATAGTGAAACTGTAGGTTACTCCAATGTTTGCGATCGGGTATATTTCAATGTTATGGCTGAAGGCATGACAAAAGTTGAAATGGTAATTGGATTGAAAGATGTCGCCTATCGATAAAGCTCTACCGGGTGGATGCTTACTTGCATTAGCTGATTACCTGTACCTAATAGTGGGGAACGTCACCATGCGGAATTGTCTTTCAGCACAAGTGCGCGTCAAGGCTGTAGGCGATTCACATGCTCTAAAACCTCGGTATTAACCGGCTCCTACCTCTAGCGCGTTATATGCCGTGTTACATGCCTTCCTCGTCGTAGTCGGCTTAAAGTACATTGCTTACTTTTAGCTATACCTTCCATTGCGAATCTTTATTCACTTCTATTATTCAAAAAGAATTTGTTTGAAACAATGCCCGATTGATGCTTATGGATCGGAATATTCAAACATCGCCATTGGTTCTTATCTGTAGCAGCCAGATACGTGTCCGGTCGACCATGTTCGTAGCATGTAATGCTCTATACTTCTAAATTGCTGAGATACCCTCGGCCGTAGCGAATGCGAAAACCACCCATTCTTTCGATTTCGTAGTCGCATCACAATAATCATAGCAGTATGGCCCAAGACGACGATCCGCGCGACTCGGCGCCCGATCTCCAGATACTAGGCGATCAGATCACCCTTCAACCGAGGAGTTATGTTGAAGCTCGCCGTCATGATGACCAGGAGCCCTTAATGCACAACATGGCTCGCTTCCGCTCTGAACCTCTACAGTATGTTACCTGGATCTATTCTCTTTTATTATTATGCAATGCGGAAACTCTAGTTAACGGTCTTTTGCTTGTCCAGGTTCCTGCGCGAAGTGTCTATGTACGTCTCCGGCACGGGATGGCGAGCTTACGACAACGTCATCGGGCAACCTATATTCTATTCTGGCTTCTCCGAGAAGATGAAGAACGCCGTTGTATCTGCGCCGCTCCTGCAGAACCGCATATCTCAACTGGCCGATAAGAGATTGGAGGTCGAGGAGAAGGAAGGTTGGCTTAATAAGGATGATAAAGATTTCGTTACCAAAAAGGCTCAAAGGCGGGCCATTATAGAGTCGAGCATTCAAGAGGTTGCGGAAAAGATGACTAACGACATGATTTGCAAGTTTGAGAGCAAGACGTTTATTAGAGGCGCATATTATCTGGTTACCCAACTGCTCACGCGAGCGTACCATCAAGGTGAGTATTTCAATGATCTCGAGCTTTTGGAGGTATGCATGTGTCATGTTAACCAGATGAGCAGGAATACATGTTTCCAGCGAAGAAGTTTTACGGTTGAGAAGGGTGGCCGAGATAGCGGAGAAGAAGAAGCAGAGCATCATCTTTCTACCTTCCCATCGATCCCACGTCGATTATGTTTCCATGCAACTAATATGCTACCGGTTGGGTTTGGAGCTGCCCGTTGTTGTTGCGGGTGACAATTTGAATATGCCTGTCGTTGGGAGTTTTTTACAGCATGCAGGTGAGTGCATATGCAGTACTACTTCGTATTGGAATATCCAAATACTTATTATCCAAGGCGCGATGTGGATTCGGCGGTCTTTCGGCAATGACACTTTATACACCACTCTTGTACAAGCCTATATAGATACCTTACTTCAAGGGGGATATAATTTCGAGTGTTTCATCGAAGGCGGACGCTCTAGGACGGGAAAACTCCTCCCTCCAAAATTTGGTATTCTAAGCTTTGTACTCGATAGTTTATTGTCAGGCCGGGTCGAAGACGCCATCATATGCCCAGTTAGCACCCAATATGACAAGGTCATCGAGACGGAAGGCTATGTAACAGAACTACTCGGCGTTCCAAAGAAGAAGGAGAATCTGGCTGATTTCCTAAGCGGTGGTTCGTCCGTTTTATCATTGCGATTAGGCAGGGTCGATGTCCGTTTTCACGAACCATGGAGTTTACGCAAATATATCGACGACCAGTTAACCAAGCTCACCAAATCTCCCGAAACATCGAGGCTAGATGTTAAGACCCCAGAGAATGCCGCTCTCAAACAAAAACTACTCCGAACAATAGGGTATAAGGTCCTATCGGATATTAACGATGTATCTGTAGTGATGCCTACGGCGTTGATCGGCACTGTGTTGCTTACTCTTAGAGGCCGTGGTGTAGGCAAGTCAGAACTTATGAGGCGGATCGAATGGCTTATCGCGCGAGTAAGAGCAAAGGGAGGCCGTGTTGCGCATTTTGGAAATTCCCCCTTATCCGACGTTATAGAACGAGGGTTAGATGTCCTAGGGAAAGATCTCGTCGGTGTCGTGCAGGGTCTAGCAGAGCCAACATACTACGCCGTGGATAGATTCCAACTCTCCTTTTGTAGGTTATTTCTCAAGCCGACTCTTTTCCCCTTCAGTAATTCTACGGAATTGCGACTCGCTAAGGGAATTCGTACGAGAATTGCCATTCATAATATATATACACGACTCGCTTTCCTATATATTGCGAGGCAAGTACTAATATATCACAGACCGCAACATGACTATCCACTTATTTATTTCGGAAGCGCTCATAAGTGCTAGCATGTACACGCGCGTCAAATTAGGCGGAGGGCCGGCTCATCAGGAAATATCTTATGATGCTTTACGGGATCAAGTTTCATTCCTTTCATCGCTATTCCGTGGAGAGTTCATCTTCCCAGGCGAGGGACTAGCAGTAAACTTGGAAAAGACTTTAGTCGGATTAGAAGATGACCGTGTTCTTGACATCAAGAGGGACGAACAGGGTAACATCTTGAGCATTGGGCTTGCAGACGAAGAGAGAGTCGCTGGAAGAGAAAATTACGATTTCTATTGCTTCCTAATATGGCCATTCATTGAGTCTACCTGGCTTGCCGCTGTCTCACTGATGGGGCTTACTCCTCCCCTCGGGCAGCAGGACAATGGTATTTGGATTGAAGTTGCTAAGGCACACAACACAGCGCAATTGGTAAGCGACCCGTCGGATTGTTATATTCAACTGAAATATTGAAACTAACAATCATAATTATAGCTCGGTAAAACCCTCTATCACCAAGGCGACTTAAGCTATTTCGAGGCGGTGAATAAAGAAACGCTGAAGAATTCGTACCAACGATTCGAAGAAGAAGGTATTATCTACGTGGTCAAATCAAAGGACTCAAAGGTCCCCCCTTTTCTGCGTCTCGCGTCCGAATGGATGCCGTCTCGCGACCCTGCCAAGTCAGGTGCCCTGCAGCCGTCGGGCAAACTATGGAACTTCATTGAACGCATTGCGTCTAGCAGGCGCGAAGGCAAGAACCGAAGAGACGGTGCCACAGTCAGCACTCGAGTCCTACGACTCGCAGAAACGCTAGGCGCAAAGTTGTTCGAAGAAGCAACTAATCCACAAAGCCAAGCCGAGGCGAAATTACACGATGAAGAAGCAGCGAAGCTCAAGAAAGCTGTTAAGGCGGAAAGGACAAGACGGCGGTTGGAGGGTAGGGCACGTTTGTGATAGCGTGCTGTGTGTAAATCTGATGTAAGCTTGATACCAGCCGCATGTGTAAATGGCAATGGAGCGAGTGTTAATGGAGAGAATTATACTGTCCTATATCGGTAGATGGGTGAAGGGAGCCAACCACTCCCACCTCTCGGCCGGCATTCCCGTATTTCTAATCGAGTATGCGGGAAGACTGAAGATTGACACATCGTATTGATAACTTTCAACGGTCCGGTTTACAAACTGAAAAATTTGCCCTCCATTTACCGGAATAAGAATCGGTCTGCAAAAATACCCACACCACTCCACGGGATCAACACCAACTGCATTATACATATATCAAAGTCTCCGGAAGTCTCTACCCGTATGTATAATAGGGCGGAACGCAGCCCAACAAACATTATTTCATGCGCAAATGGGACAGCGGCCGACAAACGTAGAATCTAGGCCTTGGTCGGCATGTAAAAGAGGCACAGGGGAATGCAGGGGACCCCTCCGGCACTCCTCCGAGGGAGGGTGGATACCTACCCAAGCTACCGGTGCCGCGGGGATCGTGATAGGGATATACTACATTATTAATCCACCGCACCATGTCTGAATAGGGACAGGGAATAGCACATGTGACGTGCGGGGAGTCGACCGTCCCAAACCTGTACGGGAATGGTCTCGGGCTTGAAGGTGAGTACCCAGGTAGTAAGTATGAATTATCGTATACCTGGTATAAATGGCAGTCGGACTCGAAGCAGACCTTCCCCCTTCCTCTGCCCTTCCCCCCTATACCCTTCGGTATCGTAAAGCAGGTTAATAAGTGTCCCAAGCTACGATCGCGGTCATGACCTTGTCGTCATCTACTCACCCCTATTTTGCACCGCGGTACGTGATAGCCGCCCTTGCTGTCTCGCTAGGCGGCCTGGTCAATGGCTACGATACCGGGTCTATCGGTGCCATCACGCACATGCAGCAGTTTAAGGATTCCGTGGGCGAGCTCTCGGCTAGCATGCTGGGTATCACGGTCTCGATAATCATGCTGACGGGCACTCTACCGTCCCTGTTTGCCGGACACTTCGCTGACAAGTTCGGGCGTCTCACAATCATCATCCCGGGCGCGATCCTATTCGGCATCGGAGCGCTAGTCCAGGGCTTGGCTCACGGCTTGGCCCAGTTTATTGCCGGCAGAGCGATCGCCGGGTTCGGCCAGGGCATCTTTCTTAGCAATATCAACGTGTACATCTGCGAGATCGCGCCGATGCGGTGGCGCGGCACCCTAACTGGACTGCCGCAGTTTATGGCTACTGCTGGTGTCTGCGCTGGCTACTTCACGTGTTACGGGACTGTTAATATAAAATCCGACATGGCTTGGCGTGTGCCGTATATCTTCCAATGCGCCTTTTCTGCCGTTCTCGCTTGGAGCTGCCTTTTGCTTCCTGACTCCCCGCGCTGGCTCATACTGCAGGGGAGGCAGGCTGATGCGCGTCGGGCTTTGGAAAAGCTCGACTTCAATATGGCTGAAGCCGAACGAGATTTCCTCGTGGTTACTGAGCAGTCACCTAGTCTTACGCCGTGGCAGGGTATTATACTCTTGTTCAAGAGAGGATATCGCGCCCGTACAATTTTGGCTCTTTTTATCCTTGGAATGGTTCAGCTGTCTGGTATCGATGGCGTGCTTTATGTAAGTATTCTTCTTTTGATAAATTCCTACACGTTATACGTAGCGTACTAACGTCTTTAGTACGCTCCCATCCTTTTCGAACAAGCGGGCATATCATCACAGAACGCTTCATTCCTCGCTTCAGGCCTTTCATCTATTCTCATGCTTATCGTCTCCATCCCTGCTTTCTTACTGGCTGACAAATGGGGACGTCGAACTTCCGCTATCAGCGGCGGTATCACATTGGCAACGTGCATGTTTCTAATGGGTAGTCTCTACGCGGCCGATGTAGTCCACCCCTACGGCGTCGCCAGGTGGTTTGTCATCATCGCTGTCTTCGTTTTTAGCCTTACATATTGCGCTACCTGGGGAATCGTGGGCAAGATCTACGCCAGCGAGATCCAGCCAGGCCACACGCGAGCAGCAGCTAACTGCGTTGCCATGGGCCTGTGCTTCGGAACAAACTTCTTAGTAGCTATCTGCACGCCGATCCTGTTAGAGGCTTCTGCCTTCGGCGCCTACTTCTTGTTCGGCGGCCTCGCAATGGCTACTGTGGGCGTGCTCGCCTTCTACATGCCCGAGACCCGCGGTCGCTCACTTGAGAATATCCAAGAGGCATTCCACCGACCTGCTGCGATGAGTAGCCTTACGCAACTTCTGAAACCGCTCGGTTTTGGGGCGAGGCGTAGAAACTATCCAATTGCTCATGAGTTAGCTGCAGGCGAAGAGACTGAGGTAGAGCTCAGCGATGCAACGGAAGCTGTTGCGGCTAGTGCTGTCTCGGTCGAAGCTGTGCCTAGAGCTCTAAGGCTCGACGTTTCGGTGTAGATTTGTGCGCCTTTTTCGTTTGATTAAGAGTATATTGTCGATCAGGATGCAAAAACATAATACCAGCAAGTTATATAGAAAAGCCATCAATTATAAATAAGACGATATAACCCAATTTCCCCATATCATTACAACATGTTTCATCTTACAATATATAAAGTACGATTAATCACAGCTTCCTACTTCACATTTTGGTTTTGTCCTTCTGCCATATCGGAAGCTCCCATAATCACTGCACGAGATTCCATAAGCCCAGTGCAGCCCCAGTCAGCGGCATAAAGATTCGGACACCATTCAGCTTTCCCCATAAGGTAATCAGATGCCGGACAGCCTCTTGACTTAGCTGCTTTCCCGTGCCCGAGTTAGCTGCGATCATCTTGCTATTGATCCCGCCGATGAAGATCACCGTGAAGGGGATGAGCAACAAATTCGACAGCGCTCCGGCTGCATACCCCCTCCATTCAAGCCCACGCCCATGATGCCGGGAGGCTAGGTAAAAGTAGTTCAGCGCGATTGCCACACCCGTTGTTGGTAGGTAATACATTCCTCTAGTGAACTGTAGATGCCATCCCCTTAGAAGACCCTCTACTGTGGTCCCACTCTGAAGGACTGCTGGTACGGCACAGATCGACAGCGCAGTGATATTACCTACGTAAAGCATTGCTCTATTAGCAGCTCATTACTTATTATGTTATCCCTATATCTCTCGCACCAACATACCTGATATCCATGCGGATCCCAAGATGCCGCCTGTGGCTGCGAGTGTCAAGGGTGTTGATAGGAAGGGCATTTCGGGAACAGGTAGTTGGATCTAGTATAATAAATATCTCGTACGGGATAATAATCATGAAATAATTTACTCCAGCCAAAAGATTAAGCTTTCTTGATAGTCAGTCAAGTACCTACTTAAGCTTCCCGGGGACCCAATTAGGGGGTATGGGAATCGAATAATACGAAGTAGTATACACAAATTTTAGCCCAACTTCTAATTTCGACCTTGCTTACTTCGGTGTCAAGAGGTGAATTTATTGTAAAGCTCGGACAAGTTGAATTCTCCGCCCTAGTCCGAGAACATACGACTAATGCGACTTGCGAGGGATATGGTGGAGGGTGGATGGCCGACCTCCTAGCCCAACTTGACATCATCGTTACCTACCTCTAAGTAAGACTACCTAATGAATCCATGCCGGGCAGTCATAGGAGGAACTTTATAGCTATCGGGCAATTTAATCCTATATGTACACTATTATAAGAAGCCAGTGAGGTATCAAGGTGTGTTTCAAAAGACTTCTCTACGGCCTTTATTGAGACTTAACTAAAATCGAAAACTACCTACCTACAGAGATGATATAATAACAGCTTCATATTACAATATAAACTCCGAGAGAAAAAGCTACTCCTTATTCAAAGTAACTCTCAACGATGGCGACGTAACGCTAACAACTTTCCCACTAGAATCCACGTTGAAAATCAACTCATCCATAGCGGCCGACCCGTATATGACGGACTCAATGGATACCCACGTCCCACATTCGGTTGAGAACATCTTATTGTTATTCCTTGGAGCATCCGCATCTTCAAATATCGCTTTAAACGCCACACGCTTCCCGCCGTTTTCTGCCGGTCCCTCGAGGCCGCTTGGGTAAAGCCTGATACGGGGCGTGACTGGGGTATACTGGTTTTGTAACACTGTTGAGATCCAAGCGAAGTCTGTCCCGTTGCTGAACCATTGAGATATGCTTAGTCCGGGGAGTTTATCGGTGGTGATGGTCATCGACGAGTTTATTTTGTTGCTTGGATAAACATAGTGTCCGCTGTATTGGGCTCCTGCTTCAGCACGAGCAGCCTCTTCTATCGCGGGAAGAATACGCTCTCCGATAGTATCTGTTTCTATGTAAGCGTCTCTATTACTTGATACTGTTAATATTTCAATATACGTACCGGCAAGACTAAAACCCGCATTTCCCGGAAGCTCGCCAGCCAAGAGGATGGTTATTCCTATGTCGAAATCTGGTAGGATGGCTAAGATAGCGCTGTAGTCTCCGATATTCCCGGCTTTGTTGAAAGCTGTAGTATATCGATATGTGTCTTCTAGCTTGATTCTCCTAGCGCCCCAAGGCATTCCGACCATGGCGAGTGGATCGGACGAGAAGGCGAAGGGCTTAAGCCATCGCCTTGTAGATACAGGTGAGAGCAGCTTGTGACTGAGGATTGCCCGGCCTAGTGTAGATACATCCTTGGCCGAGGCGTACATGTTCCCGGTGCTTTATTCCATGTAAGTATTTTCAGCTAGACGAATAGATATTGAGAAGACTTACGCTACTGATTCACCAATATCAAAAGCCCAGCCCGTCGTATAATGATCACCGGGGATGATTCCGCGTGAGTCTTCTGGTGCCTTTAGGAATGTGTTGTTTAATCCTAGGGGCTTAATCACACTCTCTTCCATCAACGTCTGAAAGGTCTTGCCTGTTATCGTTTCGAGGGCATATCCGCTATACATTCAGGTTAACAAAGTATCAACTGTATCATTCCGCATATACTAACAGGAGCTGGAATGCAACGTTGGAGTACGCCGGTGTTTGGAAGGGGGCCAGAGATGGATAGAATAAACTAATCCCATTGAAAAATTCTATATCAAATCGTTAGTACTATGAATCCACGCTTTTTGCTGTTTGCAACTCACGCGCTCGGTCGCAAGTAGGATACGCCCCGCACTATAAGATCTAATGTCAATAAATTACCTATACAGCCGAAGTTAATATTCCCGAGGCACTTACAGGAGGCTTTTCGTCTTGAGTCAAAGGTGGAAAGCCGTACTGTATCACATTGTCTCTTGTCTCGTTTGACTGTGTCAATTCTCCAAGTAACGCATCTACTACGTATCAGTGAGAGCCTACTGAGTTTAGGATTGATACTGACATTCCCGAGGGATACCCGTCAATTGTGTTGCAAGACCTCCAAGAGTAAGTTCATCCCACGCCACGTAGTTTACTGGATCTGATCGATTTGCTAAAGCTTGAAGCTCAGGTACATATTTGGTGATTGGCTCGTTCCAGAGCTTGTCACCGGCGTTGATCAGGAATGAGTAGATCGTATAAATCTTAGTCAAGCTCCCAAGTCTGAATACGGTGTTCTCATCAACCTTTTTAACTCCTGTACTCCTCTGACTTGCGAGGTTCGGCGCTGTATGTGACAGCGAGAATAGGGGCTCTGGCTCATTCGCCGAGAAGACTTGCACTGATATGGAGTAATTATGGGCTTTCGCAGTGACATTAGTGAACACATCTTTCAGCGTTGCCACTGCGGCCTTAACCGCTTCGCTCTTAGATGGTTGGAGAGGCTTAGGAAAAGCAGGTCCGTCAATGGGGCATGTTGGAGAAGCAGCTGCAATAGACACGATCGAGCCTACCACGGCTCCGAGCCTGAGGAGACGCATCTTGCAACAGTAAAGTCTGGACGAACGAAAGAGCGATAACTTGAGTATTAAGGACGCAGATTCGTCCTTGGCGGTGTCATTATTTGGCCTGGACTAAATAAAAAGAACCAAAAGCAACCCTCGAGGACGCAAGCAGGGTTCAACGCCAAGGGATACCCGAATTTCGCGCCCAGATCGTTGGAATCCTATATTAACGCAGTACACAGGGCCATGCTAGCCAATGACAATATGAATTCTTGTCATGGCTAAAAGCAGAGCTCCGTATCCTGACGACTAAACTTGGGGTAGCTGGACATACCACCGTAATAGTATGCCAGGCGGTGGGATTCTAGATTTGAAAATAAAGTTATTGCGTATTCGGTCTAGAGCTTAAATAGACTTGCTGCATTCTGTCTTTCTATCAGCTATCTCCAGAGTGAGATCAGCAGTGTAGCATCGGGGGACGCCTTGGCAGATTCACACCATGATGGTAAAGGGGCTCTACGACCTTCCTATCTGGAATTTGAACTGTTGGGAAACGCGATACGAATGTTTGTATATATATGGGTACCTGGCTTAACAGTAGACTTACCCATCGGAGCATATGTAATAGAAACACTGTTCAGCGTAACGCTGTCTCTTGAGAGTAATTAAGATGTTCAACCTGGACTTGCTAATTCATGGGATTTTCAGTAAGGTAGTGAAGTCAAACCCCAGGAGTCAGAAAACCCGGATTTACTCTATAATTCCGACTTACGACCCCCGTCTTCGCGGGTAAAGTCGAACGCGTAACGCTGCTACTGTTATGGTGACAAACCTTGATCTTGGCGTTTATATTGCAACGTAAAACTGCCCGGTGCCCACCGCCGGAAGAAGACACAATCCTACCCGAAAAAGGCACACGCCGTGGACCGTTCTCATAAAAGTAATTTGAGTCGAGGATCTAGAAGATATGTCGCGCCCGGCTACAGGTTTTGAAATATTGCGTGACACTATATGGTATATACATATGGCCTGTTTCATTTGTTATCAGGTAGTCTAATAGTATATACACGAAATGGAGTTCGATGACGAGTTAGCGTACGATCCTATAATCCGAGTCGCACTATACGATATTAATATTTACCTAGGTAGATATGTAGCCTCGGGAACTTCTTTAGAATGCAACGGTCTGGTGTGTATACCGATATCTTACTCTTGCGTTACTAATAACATTCATAGACGTGACCGCTACAGTGATAATGTGTAATACATTCCCATCTCCCCCAAGACTGTGTGGGCAGTTGAGTACTCCTATCCAAGACGTCTTTTTACCTATCACCTTCAGAAACCCCTATATTATGCTATACAGAATTGATAATACGTAGAATGCCAAAACCATACGTAATAGTAATTTTTTCTTGTTCCTACAAGTCTATAACCTCGTTTCTCAGGCAGCGGTATCAGTATATAACAGTCTTTAAAAAGAATACTTATTTCATACGCCTAAAGCAGATGCCGGGCAGTCTATTATCACCGGGAACCAGTATATACGCCTATGCCCACGGGGAGGAAATCATCGTAGTTCCGAGTACGCTTTTACTAATAATCAATGGATGCTGCTGCCCAAGTGTTATTTATCGAATAGAGGTTGCTTAAGAAAAGGCGTATGGACTTTTGGTAGCCTATTGGTGAACTTTCAACAAAGCAACTGATAATGTCAGGGGCTAAACATGAAGTGTATTTCATAGGGATAATTTCATAGTAGTTTCATACATTATGAGATGGATAGGACAAGTCATTCAATAGGAGTGCGGTCTCATTTATCTATGTGATTACCTATATGACGCGCTGAATAGTGAATAAATTAAGGAACGACATAATGTTGAAGCCCTACTTAGTACACGTTATGTTGAGGAAGTCAAGGTAATTATTATCCTATTAATCCGAATTAGTATAACGTCAAGGCACATGTTCTTATGAAGTTTCTTTAGGGGGGTTGTGTAGTGAATGGCATAAGAGTTTGCTAGAGATATGTCATAGAAAATAGTATAACACACCTGAACCCAGACACGTGAGAAGGTGAATCAAGAGGATCAGTATGACAGTGTGACCTGGATAAGGGGTGAATATTGTTGCAAGTTCGGATCCATGTGACTTTTGCTACACAATTTCGATGTGGAAATTGGTCCTGATGCATCCTATTCAGGCAGGTGATTTCCATGGGCAACACCCTTCACCGTGGCGGCTTCTGGCATATCGCGGCGTCTCATGTATGTTTGCTTAGATTTTTGGACTTCATATATAAATCTCACTGGCCAAGACAGACACATTCTGCCTGGAAATTTGAAGAAATTTACTCTTGCAGGATTAACAGGCACCGATTTCATTTGCGAATACTAACATACGCATCGTCTTGATACAGTATATCACTACCCCAACAGCAGAGCCAAGATGTATCTACCCACGTTTATCGCGACGGCACTCAGTGTCTCAGGCTTGGTAGCAGCAGTCCAACTACCCAATATTGACGGGACTTTTATGAAGCGTGAGGTCCAGCACCCCAACGGCAGCACAGTCGACGTATACCTTCGAGATTCATTCCGCCACGCCAACGACAAGCGCTTCTACAAGACCTTCCACAACGACACGGAGTACACTCATACTGAGATATGCTTCGAGACTAATTTCGTTCCGACCACGACTGCGGACTCGGCACTCTGCGACGACTGCTCGGCCATCGAGACAGAGTTGAAGGAAAATTCCGGCTTCTTCGAAACGGGCGATTATAGCGGCACCAACCTCAACCTCCTTGCCGTATGTGGGACCTGCGCGTTTGGGGTGAAGCGCCTCGATGGGTCAAGCGCGCGAGTCGACATTGGCAGTAAAGACGTCGTGGACAATTTCGACTCGGCTATCATCAGGTCAGTGCTGTTCTTAACTCTCACGCTATCTGCCTGTTATGATTATAGACTTATATGAAATAATAGATTTGCTCGCGGAGGCCATGTAGGCGTTACTGGCAACTTTACGTGCCAGTCGGCCCCTATCAACTGGGCAATAGTGAGAGCACCTTGATCGTGCATCGAGCCGAGCCCACTATCACGGATGGGTGATCTGGGAAAAGCCTAGTCGCGACGGCATATGTCGTCAGATAGGTATTTGGTTTTTAGTCGATTTTATTCCTAGTTAATAGACATCTAATTATGATGGCTTCTTGTTTTGCACCTCCCTAGGGTTGTATCTTCAAATAGAATGGACATGGTAAATGGCGACATGTATACCTCATATAGAGACACGGACTTTTATTATTGTTAGAGACGACCAAAGTTAAAGATATACTATTAGACTCAAAGCTTTAGGAAGGTAACATTCATCTTGATAATTATCTTAAGACTTTCATGGACTTAAAATCAAGATAATAACTTATCACTCACACAGGTAGTTGTCCTCTTTTAGGTCGACTATTCGGTCAACCGTCTTCTCATATGTGTACCTTAGGTACTTTAGGCTTGTCTAAACATTCTGGACAGTCCTCATGGGCCTGACGGGGCAGTAGAACTGAGCGAAGAGGATAGCAAAAAGGTCAACAAAAGGCAATGGCTAAGATTTATGGAAAGACCACGGGAGTCAAGAGCATTGCAACTTATGTTTATTAGCGGTGCCAAATGCTCGACATGTGTTCTCTTGATTACGTCCGAAACCAGACCACATCTTGTAGAACTGGACGGACTACAGATAGATTGCATTTCCTAGCTCTGTCGGGAAATATGGCATTCGAGTCTTCGAAGAACATGCTACATATCCTTCGTTGATCACCACTTGGCCTCCTTGCGGCTCAAGAAACCCTTAAGTATACCGACAATCTTCTCGAGGGAAGCCAAGTAGGTTCTCAACTCGGTGGAAACCTTGTCCTGGTCCTCCCCTAGCTTGGGGTAGAAGTCTTTGCGGTAGGGGCAGGCGCTCATAGCAGCGGAGAAAACGGGCTTAATGAGAAGTCCGTGGTGGGGTTTGAGGGTCGAGCCGTATGCGTTTCGGAAAGAGGCGGAGAGCTCTTCGGATTCCTGAGCCAAGTTCTGGCTTAGTGCAATGCAAGTGAATTCCAGTCCTCTAGTAAAGAAATCAGTTAGGCGAGGAAGCTTATGTAGGGGTAGTTTGGGCATCATCATACCGTGTTAGCCATACGAGACCTTCCGTGGCGACGTGCTTCTTCGTCTTTAGCTCGTTAATGCAGAGAGCTTGTAAGGTCTCAGATTCAGCAGGAGCGGCAAGCTGACGATCCCGGATTTTCTTCTTGGGTGTTAGTGCCTCCTATTCCCAAGTAAACTATTGGGATTTAAACCTACCTTAACGTTGCCCAACATATCAGACTTGACGGGCGAGAAGGCGACGGATCCAAGGACGTCTATTATGAGGTGACAATAAGTAAATAGTACAACTAATATTTGGGAATCCAGTAGACATACCGAACATGCTCGTTAGGGACTCGGCAGCTTCGAGGAACTCGGTAGTAGAGAGGGCATTATCGTTTTCTGCGTCAATGGGTACATCGACAAACGACTTCTTGAAGGTATCGAGGAGAGTACCACCGGGGGGGAACGCAGGGGCAGACATGGCTGTAGTTGGTTAAGATGTTAAGGAGCTAGCTAGACGAGAAAATGTCAATGTCTCAGAAGATGATTATAGAGAGAATAGGAAGGGAGGAAGAGTATACCCACAGGTTTTGTTGGAAGTTGTTTTATGAAATATGTAGAGATGTGAATTACCTAAGGCAAACAAGAAGGGGCGGTCAATGAAGCAACATATGGACTAGATTGGTAGATAGGGGTAGCTTCAGGTACTAGTCTGCATTTGAGTATGTGTACCTTATGTATTGTTGTATTGTTACAAAAGTAAATACGAGTGTCTGGGTGAGGGGTGTTAACCAAAGAGGGGCAGCGGGGGCGGGGTTGTGGTTGGCCACAGTATCATTCACTAGCCACAGATCTACAGTGGCTCAATGCTGGATTCAGGTTCAGGTGTCCCTCGAGACACGAATGACGTCACTCCATTTTTTAAGCTTAAGCTGAGCAATCGATAGGTACTTGGATGCGCCCTCTGAACCGATCCTATGTATGACTATCAATTTTAGCCAAAACATCTATCGTAATTGCGTTCTTAACTCTTTTCTTACTTACGAAAGATTGGGATCAACAACCAACAAGATCTTATTGTATCTCGGATGTCGGACGTTAAATGACTTACATAACGTACGTTTGTGGTTCTTTCGCAAGATCGGTCCCGTTTTATAATTCTTGGCTCTTATAAGTCTTGGCCTTGCCAGGTATCTACGTAAGTAGGTACATAATAAGCAAACTACAACACTTAGCTGCAAGATCACATTATCGACTGCCTCTTTTCAGCTACTAAAGAAAGACATCAGGAGGGATCGGCATCTCGTAAATATTAGCAGATGTGTGCCGCATTGCCGTGATACAACTCCAAACTTGGTAGTTGGTAGTTCTTATACGGATCCATCCCATCGTTTGAAGTACTATATATGTGTTACGGCTCGAAGCTCGTATCTTTATTTTCCTTTTTCTTGTTAGCAGTCTAGAACTAAAAAAGAACCTGCTTCTCATCCTAGGTAAGTTAGTCCTATTCTTACCAACATATTAGCCGTCCTAAGACAAGTTATCAGCCACTTATGACGACGCTCTTTTTATATGCCCTATCTCGCTTTCACACAAGATGTTCATAAGATTTTCTAACATTTTCCCATACATCAGGTAGTTAATATCCTCCTACCAATTTAACCTCCGATAATCACTTCTATTTTCTCAACTGCTACAGGTAGAACTAGAGCTCATCCCTTACTCTGTTGCGTAGTGATCGTATAATTTCACAGTGTAACCCACCTTAGCATTCCCCCCCGATTCCTCGACGTCATCATTTCTACTAAAGCTGTCTTTATAACTGTAAGATAAGTATATGCCCGTTCACAATGGCCGGCTCGCATGAAAATAGTGGCGGACGCGGCCACTCAGATATTTCGGATAAACTAAGAAACCCATTCCATGAGTTAAAAGAGAAGCTGAAGGACACTCATCTACACGACGCCAAAATTGGCCTCATTCATCAAAAGTACGTCTCAGTGCTTGTTACTACTACTTTTCAAACCGAGTATATTAACACTATCTTAGGCATAAATTTGGGAAACTCGCAAATCTCGTGAGTTGCCCTTCTATTAGTTGGTACTAGCTGCTGTCACGAACATGAACACTCATAAGGGCACGTTTGTAGTTTAACCCAGAACACCGTCATGACGAAGAACACGAAAAGGCCTGTGATGATAAACGGACTAAGATTTCCGAGAGCCACCGCTTCAATTCGTATTTCCCAGAACGTGACGGCAATCTCATTAAATGGTATGTCGATGGGAGGAATTACTTCTGGGTGAGTTTGACGCTAGATTACAACACCTCTCTAACAACCGAGCTCATCTATTTTTTATAGGCTGTATCGGTGGCTTTAGAACAGGCAAAGGAGACTATTTACATCGCGGACTGGTGGCTTTCTCCGGAACTGTTCCTTCGCAGACCTCCGTATTTCAATCAAGAATGGCGGTTAGACAGGATTTTGAAGCGCCGTGCTGAGGCCGGTGTGAAGATCTTCGTTATCGTCTATCGTGAAGTCGAAGCTGCAATAACATGCAACTCGGCGCATACCAAGCATGCGCTGCAAAGTCTATGTCCTAAGGGTTCACCGGGTTTTGGGAACATTACCGTCATGCGGCATCCGGACCACAATTTTCTGGAAAATGCTGCAGACATGACCTTCTACTGGGCTCATCATGAGAAATTCATTGTTATCGACTACGAGATGGCTTTTATCGGAGGCCTAGACCTTTGCTTCGGCCGCTGGGATGACCATCAGCATATACTCTCTGATGTCCACCCAGAAGGGGTCCGCAATGAAGTCTGGCCAGGCCAAGACTTTAACAATAACCGTATCATGGATTTTCAGAACGTCCAGGATTGGAAGCAGAACGAACTAAGCAAGGCCGACTATGGACGAATGCCCTGGCACGATGTTGCTATGGGAGTGGTTGGGCCCTGCGTTTATGACATCGCAGAGCATTTCATCCTACGGTGGAACTTTATCAAGAGAGACAAGTATAAGCGCGATGACAGATTTGACTCGATAATGCTACGGGGCCGTGAAGGCGAAGATGAAGACCTCGTGGGCGTACAGCGACCGAAACATCCCGTTGGCGAATACGTGCTTCATCCTCTAACACCTCTGGAGACGAAAAACCTCGACAATCGAGGAACTGTCCACGCTCAGATCGTCCGAAGCAGCGCTGATTGGTCCAGTGGCATATTGACGGATCACACCATTCAGAACGCATATTCGGACATCATTCGCAACGCCCAGCATTATGTATACATCGAGAACCAATTCTTCATCACCGCCACTGGCGATCAGCAATCCCCCATCCATAACACGGTAGGGAGGGCAATTGTAGATGCTTGTGTAAGAGCTGGTAAGGAAGGAAGAAAATTCAGGGTTATTATAATCATCCCTGCGATCCCGGGGTTCGCTGGTGACTTACGGGATGATGCGGCGACCGGAACACGTGCCATTATGGATTATCAGTACAAATCGATATGCCGTGGCGAACATTCAATCTTCGAACAGATCCGTGCACAGGGCGTTAACCCTACCGACCACATATTCATCTTTAACTTGCGCTCTTACGATCGTTTGAACAAGACACCTGCAATTAAGAAGCAAGAGGAGGTATCCGGCGTGAAGTATCAAGAAGTCCAACGTGCCGAAGCAGAGGAAGTTATGGGGGAAGGAATTTACGGCACTGAAGATGTCGAGGGCGAACGAGACGAACATATGGGCAAAAGAGAGGATCGGAGGGAGATTGATGAAAAAACTAAGAGCACTGAGGCTAAGCGTCGCTTCGAAGCCGCATGGCAAGAGGGCCAGGAAACTAAGTCTGCTTCCAGCGTCGCCCATCATGCGATGGCTAACACCGGAAAACTTTCGGAGGAGATTTGGGAGGATGATCCTCAAGAGGAGGTCGACAACTGGATCCAAGAGGAACTATATATCCATGCCAAACTCTTGATAGCAGATGACCGCGTCGTGATCTGCGGATCGAGCAATTTGAACGATAGAAGCCAACTGGGCAACCACGATAGCGAGCTATCAATTGTCATGGAGGATACCGACAAGATCCAGAGCATCATGGATGGACAGCCGTTTGAAGCAGGGAAGCATGCCGCTACCTTACGGCGATATCTCTGGCGAGAACATCTGGGTCTACTTCCACCGCAAACTCACGACGCGAGTAACGACCCGAACGCGCAACCGCCTGGACAGGACTCGCCTAACGATATTTGTGATAGAGATGAGAGTTACAAATTCGTCGAGGATCCCATGAGCGACCAACTGTGGGACATGTGGACCACAAGCGCGACGAAGAACACAGAGATATTTAGACATCTATTTCACGCGGATCCGGATGATCACGGTAAGTTTTTACTAGGCTTGGAGGAACAGCTGGGGAAGCGTCCGTATCTGATCTAATTATAGTGAAAACATTCGACGACTATAACACCTTCCTACCACCCAAGGGCGTCAAAGCCGGCCACATATTCGACAGATTCCTCCCGCCAGACGATATTCGGGCAAAGCTAGACCAGATCAAGGGACATCTCGTGTGGATGCCGCTGGACTACTTGAAAGATGTTAACATGGCTGAAACGGGGCTGCAGGTTAACTCGTGGACGGAAAGCGTGTATACGTAATGTGGCGATATAGGCCAAAAGCTAGTGGCTTGGATATCTGCTACTATTTGTAACGGTAGCAGGTGAGGTAACGAGGCGTGTTCTTATATGGGCTCTAACGTGGGAGTCTACGGCTTACAGGGTGGTGGCAAGGTGGTTTAATACAAAATAAGCCTCTAATGTTCTTGTATTCCGAAGCTTTGACGTGGTGATTGTTGGGCTATGCTAGATCTTATAGAAATAATTTAAGATGTATAATCCGAGTCCTGTTCCAGGCAAATATATCATATGAAATGTGCCAATCCGAGGCTTGACAATAACAAGTAAATATACGCCGTAGTCAGCCCTACGAGCGCTCCGCGTGTCTAAAATTAACAATCTAGGTGAAGCACAGTCCCCAGAAAAGACACAATGCCGAAAAAAGCCAGCCCTCTACGACAGTGGCATCTTACAATCCGCGCCCTGCCTTCTTCTATGCCAGGTACGCCGTCGGTGATTGGTGGGTAGCTGATGCCCGCCGGGTGAATTGGGCGCTGGCCTCCAATTTCGATGTACCAGCCCCAAAACGGACCAATAGCGCGCAGCTCGGTGCCTGTGTCTCGGTACATAACCATACGAGAGTTGGATGTGCTTCCGTGGCCTAGCTGTCGCCGATGTAACTCGTCGAGAGGAGAATAGGAGAGCTATAGATGCGCGTTATATACTTGGCCTCGTTCATACGTGGCTTGTCTGCTAGTATAAATGGATGCTCGGGCCCAGGCCTGGGTTCCTCGTAATTGTAATTGCGAAGAGATAGTTCTAGACATATTCCGGTAGTCAAGCATAAAAGTTGACGTACTCCCTCATAATAGCTATGTCGCGTTTCATTTTCTGGGCCACGACCCTATCTACTTTGGTCGCCGGGTATCCGCTCGCCGAATACTCGTCTAAACCTGCGGCGTTTTTCTTGGCGGGCGATTCCACGACGGCGGTCGACGGTGGTTGGGGCGACGGCTTACTCGCCGCGCTCAAGAGTCCGGCTTGGGGCGTAAATATCGGGAAGAGCGGTGCGACCACGGCGTCTTTCTCTGCAGGCGGATACTGGGCGAATGTAACGAAGCACCTGCAGGATAACGTGGGCAAATATGATTGCTACGTGACTATTAGTGTAAGGATGCCAGACTGAGTACGGTATAAGAAGGGGGCACGCGACACCCTTCTTACTGGACTCGATAATGCCGTATGGCCTATAAGCTAACTGGTGATACGTTTATAGTTCGGACACAATGATCAGAAATCAACCAGCGGTGTCACCTTCGAGCAGTACCAAGCTAACCTTATTCGTTTCGCCAACGAGGTCAAGTCACTGGGTGGCACACCAGTATGTATCCCCTATTATTCATAGGGAGGGAAGAGAGAACTATAGGCGGAGTTGAAGAAAAATATAGAAAGGGCAATACAGAAGGCGAAGGGGTAGAAGAGGCAACCATCCACCTGTTGCTAACATAAAATCCAGCTACTAACATCGTCGCTCACACGCCGGGTCTTCCCCTCAAATGATGATCACAACGCCACGGATTCGCTACACGACCAGCGTCTAGCAGCCATCGCAGCGGCCAAAGCAACAGACTCAACCGTCATCGATCTTAACGAGGCGAGTCTGAAGTACGTCAACGCCATCGGGAAGCAAGCCGCCTGGGAATACAACTACGGTGCAGACAAGAACGACACGACGCATCTGAACGAGCACGGAAGCATCGTGTTCGGCCGTATGGAGGCTGATCTAATCATCCGCGCAAAGCCACGCTTGGAGAAATATTTCACCCCTAACAAGACCCTAAGCGACGCCATTTGGAACAATCAACCTGCATGAGGATCTCAGGACTGACGGGATATTCTTGTTGAATTTGTGGCCATCTAACTTTTCTGGATAGTAGTGATCGTGTCAATAAGTACCTAGATTTAAGTACACCTTCACGAAATGTATAAACATCGCCTCATCTTATTTTAGTCTACGCCATTGGTGTTGATTCCCCGTGCTCCCGACTGACTGTGATGTAGTATTGTTGAAATTCAGATGTCCCACCCATGTAACATTATAGCATATCTCGAATCACCATCCCCTTCCGGCCATTTTCTGCTCGGGCCTCATGCTGTTGACGCTGATACCAACCATTGCCTCGCCGAGGCCTTCACTACACTCGGCTAGGACTTTCGGGTCTCGGAAGTGTGTCGTAGCTCTCACGATAGCCTTAGCTCTCTTAGCCGCGTCGCCGGATTTGAAAATACCGCTACCGACGAAGACTCCGTCGCAGCCTAACTGCATCATCAATGCAGCGTCCGCGGGGGTCGCTACACCTCCAGCGGCGAAGTTGACCACCGGTAAGCGGCCAAGTTCTGCGGTCTGCTTGAGCAGCACAGCGTCGCACTCAAATTCCCTCGCCAGGGCCCTGATGGCCAAGTCACCACCCTCCTGAAGCGCGGATCTGGCCCGAGCAATGTCACGGTTAACCGTGCGCATATGCTTGACGGCCTCAACAACGTCTCCTGTACCAGCCTCGCCCTTGGTACGAATCATGGCAGCGCCCTCAGCAATACGCCTCAAGGCCTCGGGTAAGTTCCTGCAGCCGCAGACGAAGGGTACCTTGAAGGGGCTCTTCTCGACGTGAAACGTATCGTCGGCGGGAGTGAGGACCTCGCTCTCATCGATATAGTCCACACCCAGGGCCTCGAGGATCTGGCACTCGACGAAATGACCGATACGGGCCTTAGCCATGACAGGAATAGTCACAGCTTCCTGGATCTCCTTGATCTTACCAGGGTCTGACATGCGCGCCACGCCACCTTCTGCTCGGATATCGGCTGGGACACGCTCGAGGGCCATGACGGCGCAGGCTCCAGCTTCTTCAGCAATGCGGGCCTGAGCGGCGTCTGTTACGTCCATGATGACACCCCCTTTCAGCATCTGGGCTAACCCTGCCTTGACGATGAAGTCGGACTTGGAAGAGGAAGGTATCGAAGAGCCATTGGCCGACGCCGAAGCGTTGTTTGCATCGTTACCCGTCATGGTTGCTGGTTGAGTTGTTTCGGAGACGTGTATGGTATCTGAGGAGGCGATACTTTTTTGACTGACTGGACTTTCTATTTCAGAGTCTAAACTCTTTAAGAGGCTCTTTAAACAGAAGAATATACGCAGGGGTAAAGGCGTTTAAGTCGGCACGGCACGTAAGTTATGACTGGAGCGTCTGGGGAGGCAACAAGGGACGTGAGGATATCAGAATTTCTTCAATTACGGTTGGTACATTAGAATAACTTACTCATACATGCGTAGCGTGCCGTCTATACCCGTCTCCAAAGGCGGGAAATTTTAGAAGCCGGCCGAGCCTTATAGTCATTCAAGATGACAAAAAAGGGCTCATTCACCAATGAGATGACTGCCCAAGAATTCGATGGGGCCATGACTTTCCCCAAGATGGGCATAGATCGAGAAGTTTAAATGACCTAGAAGGACCCATGCTTAGTTTGAGAATCCGATCAATTGAAAATTTTACACAGCGAGTTGGCGAGAAAGATCAAAGAAAGAGGTACTGCCCCGTACTTCGGTCGGGATGACGCATACGGCATCGCCGGTCTCGGGGGGGATTACTCGGTACGCCATGGTACGTATTATACATTGAAGTAGGGGTAACAGATACGGTAACAGATAAAGATAAATATTCATGTGGGTTATGTGTGTAAACGGTGACGGTAACGGCTTCGGTAACCGGATAACAGGAACAGAGGTAACAGTTCAGTGTTTGTAAGGTAAAGTAGGTACCTATAGGCTATTAGGGCCTACGCCAAAAAGATTTCCGCGGGATGCGACAGACTAAGAAATAGATAGAGGCACACTAATAAGCTAGACTAATAAGAGAGAGGCATTTACCTATACTACCAACCTGAGTAATATAGAGACATATAAGATAAAATAATTACCTAAAGCTCCGAATCGTCTACATCTATCAAATCCCGGATCTGTCGAGCTAATCCCGGATCGTTCCATAGTGTCAGTTGACTAATAACGGATACAGTTGACTAGCCACTTTGCGAGAGCATACTTGGGGATATCGTGAAGACGTCCTAGTCCCTGGCGGAACGAACATGGTGACCGTTGGTGTCCTTGCTCTTCAAGGGGGCTTCTCGGAACATCTCAGCTCTCTCCGCAAAGCAGCCATACACATTTCGACTCCGTCATCGAACTTCAACTTCATCGAGGTCCGGACGCCAGAGCAGTTGGCGACATGTGATGCTCTAATTATACCCGGAGGGGAAAGCACCACGCTATCTCTCGTAGCCGCACAGTCTGGGCTGCTGGAACCATTGCGCGAGTTTGTCAAGTAAGTCCGATACACATATAGCGCCCAGAGGGAGGATATAAAATCGCTAATCTCGGGGTTTGGCCGACCGCGTAAGAGTAAACAAGAAGCCAACTTGGGGCACATGTGCCGGTCTTATCTTCCTGTCTGAACAAGCGAGTGCCGCTAAAAGAGGCGGGCAGGAATTGATCGGGGGACTCGACGTCAAAGTCCATCGCAATCATTTTGGCCGACAGAAAGAAAGCTTCGTAACGGATCTGGACTTGCCCTTCTTATCTCAGGGAAGCGATGGAGCTCAGGCCACTCCTTTCCCGGCAGTGTTTATTCGAGCCCCTGTTGTGGATCAAGTGTTAACAGGCGACATTACGTCGGTCGACGACAAAGCGGAGAACATAGCGCCAAAGGTCGCGACGCAGAATTCTGAAAACCAAGCCCAAGCCCCCAAAGGAAAGGTTGAGATCTTAGCTACTCTTCCCGGGCGTCACGCCTCTAACAAAGCCGCGGCGGCGTCGATTGAGGGTACTGATACTCAAGCAGTAACACCTAAAGGAGCAGGAGATATCGTCGCGTTAAGACAGGAGAACGTGTTCGGAACAAGTTTCCACCCGGAGCTAACTGATGATATTCGAATTCACGTTTGGTGGTTAGAGCAGATAGCGAGGTCGCACGTATAAAGAAAAGAATTCGATTTGGAGTTACTCATGACACCGGCAATTAATAAATAGAATGGTGGGAACAGGTAGTACAGTGTTGTACGCGTGTATGTACCTAATGTGAGTACTGCACAGCGGCTCTCAGGATTACCTCGGATTGGCTCCTCCCCTTAAAGCGTAATTCGTACTCTTTTTCTAGGACACATTTCCAACATCAGCCACATACGGAATCATAAGATTTCCACTGACATTAGAAACAGTTCAACATCGGCTTTCTCCATCAGTTGTCGTCTCCCATTCTAGTAAACCCGGAGACTCCCGAGTCGCCCTAGAATAGATAAGGCACATAATTTGAGCTAGTTGAAAATGTGATGTGTCTAGCTTTGCGGGGTACATGGGGTGAGCGTTCAAGAATGGGGGTTGTTTGTATACCTGGTTTTGGAGCAGGGTATTGATACTCTGGCGAGCAACAATCTGATAAACTTGAGTTGAGGAGGCACTCGACTGTCGACTAAATTACTTGTGATAATTAGATAATTTTACATTAGATTCGCATCATTTAGATAACTACTAGGTTACTATTCTAATCGCCTCTGCCTCATATTTTATTCTACCATGGGTAAGAAAAAGGTCCTTGTCGGGTGAGTAGATACCTAGTTTCATGAATAGTAGGATATAGATAACAATAACTAATAAAGTATTACACCAGGTACGGAGTAGATATTGATGCTGTTGCCGGTTGGCTTGGCTCTTACGGGGGCGAGGATAGCACCAGCGACATCAGCAGAGGTTAGACCTCTCCCCATGTTACAGTGATTAGACTGCGTATCTAACGCCAATTATCCCCTTTCAATTAGGACTCTGGGCTGGCACGATCGGAACCCGTCGTCTGCTTAAACTATTTGACAAGTATAAAATCAAGGCGTCATGGTTCATACCAGGTCATTCGCTCGAGACATTCCCGGAAGAATGCGCCATGGTGAGAGACGCCGGTCACGAGATCGGTCTCCACGGATACTCTCATGAGAATCCGGTCGACATGACGCTCGAGCAGCAGCGAGATGTCCTCGACAAGACGTATAGACTTCTCACCGAGTTCTGCGGTAAGCCGCCGAGAGGTAGCGTTGCGCCTTGGTGGGAGACGAGCAAAGAAGGGACGGAGTTGATGCTCGCTTATGGCATTGAGTACGATCATTCTATGTCCCACGAAGACTGCCAGATGTACTGGCTACGCACCGGAGACTCATGGACTAAGGTAAGTGCGACGAGGTTGTTTACGATTGACCTAGTATTGTATCTGGTGGTGAGTTTCGTATTTCCGAATGCCAGCTGACCCTATCATAGTATGTCGTGAACATTCCTTTTACACTCTTTCACTGAAAGAAAATTAGTGTTTGGAAAGCTGCGAATATTCATTGACCCTGAACCTGAGATATATATGGGCATAGTGCTAAGTCATATCAGGATCGACTATAAGAAAAAAGCCGAAGAGTGGATGAAGCCCCTCATTAAGGGGCAACCCACAGGCATGGTGGAAATCCCAGGCTCATGGTATATCGACGATCTTCCTCCTATGATGTTCATGAAAAACTCGGCCAATTCGCACGGTTGGGTTAATCCGAGGTTCGTGAGAGACGCAAAATATGATTATATCTCGGGTCTAATTACCAGCATAGGGATGTTGAAGACATATGGCGTGACCATTTTGATTATTTTTATCGCGAGTACGACGAGTTCATCTTCCCGATGACGATTCACCCCGACGTATCAGGCCGGCCGCACGTCCTCTTAATGCACGAAAGGTTGATCGAGCACATCAACAAGCACGAGGGGGTAGAATGGATGACATTTGCCGAAGTAAGCATTGGTTTATGAATTTGAGTCTATTTATTTTTAGCGTTGCTAACCGTTGAAGATGTGCGACTACTTCAAGAGTAAGAACAAGCCACCTGAGGGAGCTATGATGCCCGCTCCTCCGGGAGAGATCCTTAAGAAGTCGGATGAGTAATTGGGATGATGAACATAGACGGTCGGACACTAGAGTGCACTTATACCTAATAAGCTGAACTATTATGAATCTCTGCTGGAACTACCTCTTAGTTAGGTGTATGTGGCAGTAATACAGATCAAAAATAACGAGAATGTATAAATTGTACGTGATTCCGATTAGATGCTGTACCTAATCTCTCGGACAAGTTTATCAATAACGGTACCGATTGCGAGGACTTTCTCTTCCTCGAGCTTCCTTCCAACTATTTGCACCCCAACGGGCAGTTCGAGCTTGACCATCTTCTCCTTTTCTCGAGTCCATAGAGCATTATTCCACTCATCTATTGCATTCCTCGGCGTGTGATTCCATGGTGCGTGGCCATCGATGGAAGATACTTTACCTGCGGGGATAACCAGAGCCGAATAGTCTAAGACGTTCCATATCTTCGTATATCCCACCCATCGACAAGCACGATGGGGGACAGCTGTATGTGGCATGGGTGGCATTAGCACAACGTCGACCTGCTTTCCCGTCTTTGGCGACCTAATTTCATTCCATTTCTCGAGATACGCTTGTTGGAGCGATATTTTACGCTTGTTCAACTGCCAGTAATCGTAGACAGAAATAGGCTGGCCTTTGTTGACCAAAGCTTCTACGTGAGGAATAAAGGGTTCTCCACCGGCTTGAACATCACGGCGGATATCTTCGCCACCGTCGGCCGTATAGAATTCATCCTAAAGACCACGAAGATTAGAAAATAGAGGTGGGCGGCCATAAAAGATGCTATCTAACCATAACCTGTATGCACTCGGCGTGGAGGTTGGAATTCCATTCAACGATATCATGACCGGCGGCTTCGAGACTTTCTACCAATGAGAGAAGTACTCGTGTAATCGGCGGATGCGGTCGGACTACTCCGTCGTCAATAAGCAAGCCAATTGTCAGCGGCTTGGACCTGAAATCCTCAAAGATTTCCTCTCTCCATGGTATAGATACACAACGAGCGTCATGTTTCCAGGGCTCTAACCGGATCAGCTCTTTCATCACTAATGTCAGCGACGGTAGACTTCGCGTTAGTGGCCCTACCGATGAAGGAACATGGTCTTGCCCTTCGGTTGACACAGGTACTCCTTGATATGGGAGACGGGAGCTCTAAGGCAAATCATTATTAGTTCAGGGGTTGCGTTCGGGCAGTTTTTAAAATAAGAGATATCTTACACTCGGCTTGAACCCGTATAAACCCATCATATGGGCAGGTATCCTAATACTGCCACCAATATCTGTTCCCCAACCAAGAAGACTCCCGTGACGGCTTAGTAGCGCTGCCTCGCCACCTGTCGAACCGCCGGGAGTGTAGTCCTTACAGAAAGGATTCGTGGTAAGGCCCCAAAGCGGATTCTCAGTCTCACACCACTATAGTTCATGGTCAGATACCAACTATCTCGTAGCGCCAAAAGCGAATCTGGGCTCACCATTATGCTCTGAGGGAGATTCGTCTTGGCCAGCACAACAGCACCGAGTTTCTTTAGTAGCGCGACAAGAACCGCGTCTTCAGTCGCGGGATTGAATGCGCGGCCAACATAACCGAGTGTGCTATCATAGCCTTTAACATTAAATTGATCTTTAAGGGTAACGGGAACACCATGCAACGGTCCGATGACATCCCCGTGCTCTTTTTGATAGTCATCGAGCTCACGAGCCCGCGCCAAGGCCTCTTCAAAGAGAATTTCACTAAGACTATCGTCACTGTTAGCCAGCTACCGACCGAAACCCCATGGTGAATAGGCAACCAACCAATTCGTCTAATATTCTCGAGAGATGCAATCAGTATATAATTTACAGCAACATATCCGAGCGAAAACCTACTAAACCATGTGTTATGGCAGCCCTGGCGAGATGAATCAAAATTAGTAACTTTCGAAGATGACCACTAAATTTCGACTCGATGCACGTAGTAGGCTTCTACGGAACCTTTGAATATATGCTTCCGTCACAGCTACAGAACTTAGCTCGCCAGAAGCAAAGAGAGGGACCAACGCCGAAATATCCTCAATACACATCAAGTTCACGTCAAACTATTATTCCAATTGATTTCAGCAACCACAATAGTTATAACAAACACGTCTCACTCCTCAAATGACATCTTACATGTTTGATATTGTCTGCAATGGCCAGTGCTCGCTTTTGAGCTTTGCGCTTCAAGCGGACCTTCTCTTGCCATCCACCTGAGATTTCCGCCATTGTGAGATGACCTTCTATTTACCAAGACGTTGAATTCACTAGAGCGGAGATATATGATAATGTAGCTTATTAACTTATTTCTCATTAATGTACTGTGTAAGGCTGGCTATGAGGGGTACCTATATTTCCAAGTGACAACCCGTCGGCTTCATAAGCGACATGCTGCCGATATTTGAGAAGTCTGCAAAGAGATAGGCAGGAGACAATGTCTTGGCAGATATGAATACTGCGCAACATGCGGCCTATCTTATCCGTGCTCTCTACTATGTATGTACATACCTAGGTATTGCGTATGCACATAAAGTGGTGTGATATTTGACATTTTGAACAGGGATATTCAGCAGTATGTATAGGTAAGTGTAGCAGTAAGGAGTGGGAGGGTTGTCAGACAAAATGTACCCTAGCGCCGGTACCTGGATAGATAATAGGGTAAGAAGTAAAGAATGGGGGAGGGGCAAATGCAGAAAAAACACTTCAGGGGTCCAAGAGGGACCAAGAGGGACCCGAAAGGGTGGGGAGGGGGTTTATTATGGATAATCATCTCATTATTCAAACAGTTTTGAGGCAGGTTCGAAGGTTGATAATTGACAAGAATGGCAACAGTTCTAGAACAAGTCGAAACAACCCACTGTTTTAATGTCCAGTTACACGTCGCTTTTGCCTCTTAAGCCCCCATATGTTTTTTCCATACTCTCCCTTGTCCCCCCCAGTTCGCAGTTTGAACTAGGTAAACCCGACCAGTCCGATCTAGGGGACCCGGAGTGGTTCGAGAATGGCACCAAACCACCTGACAATGGCCTGAGCACAGTGCGAATTAACATTTTATAACTTTTATAACTTTATCTAACTCAAGTGAAGGACTGAAGTGAGCTCATTCGTTCCTTTGGCCTACCAGACCTACTAGATCTTACCTTGGCTTTCAAAAAGTCACCAGACGGAACGCTGTTCGCCGGTAATACACAGTCTCCATTGGGACTCAAACTCGACTCACCCATCCCCATTCATCAAATCAATCAACCGGTGAAATCAATACATCTTACTGATCGGACCAACCGTCAACGACCCACCACCACCACTTCCCCCCCAAACGCCGCCTCGTTACTCTTTGCTACCTCAAAGCAAGCCACCTTGCTATTTATTGTGCTCTGGTAGAAGCCTTTAACGTACTCGCATGAAATAAATATTGTCTAGGGAATTGAAACCGGCGCCATGCTCGTAGATGAGGTAGACGGTGTGCGACAGAACGGCGACACCAACGGCAGCACCAATGGCGAACTTAAAGGCCATGGTCCAGCCAAGCGCCGTGAAACCAACGGCTCACGACACAGCTCCGAAGTCTGCGTCGTCGGAGCTGGGCCTACCGGCTTGATGTTGGCGTAAGTTCCATTTTATTCCTGTTTTTCTTTCTTTTTCTTCTTCTTCTTTTCCATCCGTAGTCTATAGTTATAGAATGAAAAGAGAGAGAGAAAAGAGTAAGACCGTTATGGTCGCCATCGTCATCGTCTTCGTCCCTAAACATCCTCCCTAACGCCCACGCTTACATCCAAACCATGCAGTACTTTACTAGCTAGATTCGGCATCAGTGTCGAAGTCATAGATGAGAGGCCCGATCAGACTCAAGCTGGTCGTGCTGATGGGTTACAACCCAAGACGATAGAGACCTTGCGTCAACTCAGACTCGCAGATGGCCTACTGATGAGAGGCGCTAAGGTGTATGATATATGCTTCTGGGAAGCTACTGCAAACCGCCGATTAAGACGCCTGGGTCGTGAGATCCATTATCCGGCACTAGTTGTTGACCTTCTCGATGACTATATCCTCCTAGTTCATCAGGGGGTTGTGGAAGGGGTCTTCATAGAGGATCTCGTAAAGCGAGGTGTCCAAGTGAAGCGCAGTCATCAATTTCAATCTTTTAAACGACAAGAGGATGACACGGGCTTATTAGAGATTGAGTGTAAGACCACGAGCACCGGGGAAAAGGAGACGACATTATCCAAATACATAGTCGGATGTAAGTTACAAACGAGTCTACATATTTCAGATACCCCTGGCTGACTTCATTAGGCGATGGCGCCCGATCTAAGGTGCGAACCTGCATACCAGACACATATTCAGTAGGCAAATCTCATGAATCTGTGTGGGCTGTACTCGATGGAGAACTCATCTCGGACTTTCCGGACCTCTGGTCCAAGACGGTCGTCTATAGTGAGGTGCACGGTTCCATACTTATTGTCCCGCGGGAACGGGGCACTACTCGATTCTACGTCGAGATCAAACCGGACACCGAGACCGGTAACTTACGAGAACTCGGACAAGAGTTCGTCATGCAGCGTGCCAAGCAAATCTTGGCGCCGTACTCGGTTGAATGGCGTACCGTGGAATGGTTCGGCAATTATCAGATCGGACAGCGAATAGCAAATAAATTCACCGATCCGCATCTGCAGGCTTTCATTGCCGGAGATGCAAGTCATACGCATTCACCCAAGGCTGCACAGGGTATGAACACCAGTATGCACGACAGCTGGAACCTTGCGTGGAAATTGAACCTCAGCTCGAGAGGTTTAGCTAAGCCGGTTCTACTCGAATCATACGAGATGGAGCGTAGAAAGATTGCGCACGACCTCATCAACTTCGATTATGAGCACGCTAATAAAATGGCCGGTGGTGACGCCAAGGCCTTAGCTGAGAACTTCCGCACGAACGTGCGATTTATCTCAGGAGTCGGTGTCGAGTACGACCACAACGTACTTAACCATCCGTCCAAGCGCAGTGGAGGCGAGCTGAGGCCGGGATGTCTCGTTCCGCCTGCTAAGGTAACACGATATATCGATGCGAATCCGATCGATGTCCAGCTTGACATTCCCATGTTGGGCCAATTTAGGGTGTACTTCTTTGTGCCAGATATCCACAATAGCATGCCGTTCCTCCAGACCTTCTGCAATGGATTGACAAGGCAGGACTCATTGTTTAGGAAACTGAGTCAAGCCGCCGCGGCCAGCTATTTGGAAAAGCCACGAACACCCACTTCCGAGGACGTTTATATACGTTCGGAAAGATACACGAGCGTGAGCGAACTCACCACGTTTGCACTTATCAGTAAGAAGAAACCCCTTACATATGTGTATTCTCCAAGGTCAATCCATTTAAGCTAACCTCTAATGCAGCGACTATGGAGAAAGCTAGAGTTGAGATCCAAGATCTGCCCCCTCTCTTCGCTCGAAGTGCATGGACATTTTACCTGGACAATGTGCCGTACTTAGACACGCGCAGACAGACGTGTACGAGCAAGTGGGTAGGAACTCTGCAGAAAGATGAGGTCTCTATCGTGATCCTACGACCTGATGGCTACGTAGGATCGATTAGCAGGTGGGATTCGCTAGGTGTTAACGCTGGTTCGACGGCAGCCGATTGGCTCAATTCTTACTACGACGGATTCCTTAAGGTTCCTGACGAGAAAGCGAGGTAATGTTAAGCTACGAGCATAATAAGGAGGGGGGGTTGAGGAGCAAAATGCCTGCGTGACATTGTCTATGGTTTCATTTTTATCAGCATTTCGGCAAGTTGTACGGTATACTTCACATTGGTGGCATCCGCGGGTTACATGCACTCTTAATTCACACATCCCTTTTCCTTGAAGTAGGTAGTCGTCCTCACGAGGCCCCCCTAATTGTGTTTCGAACCACTCATCATAGTGTAGATAGATATTCTCGCCGTAGAATTTTGACTTCCGACTAGACCCTTGTCTCACGACGAACAGCTTTGGCGTTTCTTCTTCTTCTTTGTATCGTGCGTCCATATCGAAGCACATGCACTCAGACAGTAGTATCATCAAACTGCCCTATTAACCTCCACGGGATCAAGCCTTTAAGCACGGTGACGCCGGCATGCACGATTCCCCAGCGAACTTTACTCAATACCTCTGCCATAACCCACACCAAACCGCTAGTTCGCTTCAGCCCCTGTATTTCGGGTAAACCATGAATCCCCGCTTCTACCATCGAGTCTAGAAGCATCCGCATCTCTGCTTGAGCATCCCACACTAGTTCGCTATCATCCTCGGGACCGGAACCAAGCCCCTTGGCGCCGGTGTGGTGAAATGTCCATACCGTTAAGGTGGCTAAGTAAAGACACCATGGTACGTGGAACAGGCCCATGGAATCGAAATCGACGAGCGTCTGTGATGCACTTTGGAGTAATTGTGCCGCGTGCCAAACTGCTGCCACCGCGCTCGTAGATCCGTCAGCATTGTCAGATCCTGGGATCGTATGGCTCATAGCCCATCGTTTCACGACCTTTTCTGAGCGGATAAAGTCGGTCCGTTGGACGGACCGCCCGAGGATATGTCGTGCGCCAGCAAATATTTGTATGTCGAGGAATTCCGAGTGTAGAAGCGTATGAGCTGCATGGTATACAGCCACATACGCGGTACGCCAGACGTCGAGTTCGACTTTTGCATTTTCGGGGACGGTGCCCTTTCTTATCTCCGCAAACGTGAGGTCCGATAGGCGCAGACAGAAGTTGTCAAAGTCTACTTTCCACTCGTGGTAAGCGTCTCCAAGACGACTCTGCCACCGGCCGCCCTGCGCAGAGATGACGCCGAGACTGGTCTGGTCCCGCCGCCGCATGTCCCAGAAAATGGACATTAAACCGTGGAAGATGAAGATTCTTGATAAGCCGTTCAGTCGAGGGCAACGATGCGTGTCGCGCGTGATGTAAGACTTCAGTGCGAGGAGGTACATCGGCTCAGGGGCTGTGGAGAGTGAGAGGCGCGACCATTCGGCGGCTGTGGATGCCTCCCATAATGCTTGGTTGCAGGGTAGAGGGACCCGGAGCTCGAAGGCTGACATGCAGAGAGATTGGCAGAATAGGACGGCGTGTTGGGTATCCCACATGAAGCATAGAAGAGCCAGCCTGGATATTTCTATGTTAATAATCATCATGAATGAACACTGAGGTTTGCAAGATATTAACCTTTTCTTCTCCTCAGCCTCTACCCATCGTCTCCAGCCATAGTCATCGATCAAGTTACCCTTATCATTGTCTTCGTGTGGGCGAACTGGCCGGACAGACTGGCAGTCAGACCGCCTGATCAGGTTAATCAACATCCCGTGAAATAAGTGGCTCATATCGTGTTGTTTCTGGCCTGCTCTGCTCTTTCCGAAACATTCGACTAGCAGGATTGTCTGAAGCATCCAGAGGTCTGGTTTAGGGTTGAAGCTCGCGTGAGAAAATACTATTCAAGGTTAGAGTCGTGATAGTGTAGTCTCTCAATAAGCTTAAGAGACAGGAGTTCCTGTTCGCTGACTATGACAAAATTTTATGGGAATACTTACTCGCCGGACGAATTACATCGTGTATGCAGACGGCAAATTGGTGTGCCTCTTTCTCGGAGTCTAATAGTGGGAATTAGCAATGCCTTACCATTCATATAGGAAGAACACAAAAATCACTCACAGGTAGCCCCGAGTAGAATCATGGACATAAGTAATAATGACTCATTTTGGCTTGGTTCAAAGGTGGCTAGGTGTATTAACGGATATGCAGTATTGAACCTGCTAAAGTATAGGTCCAAGTAGGTTTGCAACGAAATCTGTGACATCAGCGGATGGTTGACGTCGAGAAGGGAGCCACTGGGTGCTAACGGTCTTGCGGCCTTAACCGTCTCTAAAATCTGGCTATAGGTGTAGTCGTCTATATACGGTAGACGGTTCGGCGGTTGAAGAGTAGCCAGGGGTCGCTCGAATTCTGCTTCACCAAAGCCACTGGGTCCCCGATGGGCTTGCTTCGGTACCGGCGAGAGGCTAACAGCAGTTCTATCTGAAGAACTAGGACTAATCGAATCTTGGGTACTCCCTCCAGAAGGTATACAGTCGAGAGATTCCATGGGTGTCAATGAGGTCTCGGTCATCCCCCCGCCATATGTCCTAACACCTGGAGAGAAGTTGTCTTGACTTGAGCTCACAGGTGCATGATGTTGAACGCCGGAGTACATAGCCAGGGGCGTAGTAGGAACATACGGGGTATGCGAGACGGTAGCGCTCGGGACATTGCTATCTAGACTAAAAAGCCAATCATAATTTACTTGTGTCGTATAGGGCATGTTAAACGAACTTGCCGTGTCCGGCTGGAATACTTCATCGTAGTTTATGTCGAAGAAAGGAGGCTGTGATTGTGATGTCTCGGGCGCAATCCAATATCCGCTATTACCATGAGAGTCGAACTGCCCCGTCGCAATCGCGTAATCTGGTAAAAGGCTATGACTATGGCTATGGGTAAAAGCCGTATGTGCCGCGGGATCGTTGTCGCTTTGGTGGTCTGAGTTATGAGTCGATACAGGAGGTGAAATGGGACCTTCTACCTGGGGCACGAACGGCGCTCCCACACTACTACTGCTACTGCTACCACAGGACGTGTTCTGTTCTACTGGCTTCTTCTGGACGATCTGCCCGTCATGGTTTTTCCACATACGCTTGCGTGTATTCAACGTTCCGACGCCTGCGCCTCCAGCTTCTTCATCCTTCTGTTTATGCCGGTTGATATGTCTTTCTACACGGCCGTGTTAACCCCCGTAGATCTGAGACGGCGATGGGGTTCTCACCTAGAAGGTCCTGGCGCTTGAAGTGGGCGCGGCACCGCGGACAGGTTGCATCCCCATCGGTATGGTTCTTTTGATGACGATGGAGGTGCTCAGACCGCGAGAAAGATTTACCGCAACCGTCATAGGTGCAAGTAAACGATCGCCTGGTGCTACCGTCACCCTCCCGAGTTCTATTACGCTTAGCTCGCTGCATACTGCCCAGCCTCGCAATAACCTAGCAAACTCAACCAGTTGACATTCACCACTTTCAAGGAGTCTTGTCATGTGGATCGTCTCGGAAGACGAAAAAACCCCATTCTTATCCTCCCAATGGATTTTAGCGGAGGGAAGAGAGACAGAAAGAAAAGAGGGGAGAGGAGTGTGTATGTTTCAATGGCCTTAGTATTAATTCTTCACGGGTTGAGGCTCTTGCTGACATAGGACATAGGGTAGAGAGTGAACACACAATGTTTCCGCCAAGAGCTGTGCAATCATCAAATTTACACTTCAGCTATGTCGGTACGATGGTAAGCAAGCTGAATGTACCCCTTGTTCGAATCAATGCCGACAACAACTGCCTCATTCTCGACGTACCTACATATTCCCCCACCTTTGCTATCTCCTACAAGTGATATGTTACTACCAAGAGTGGGGGTTGCCATAAGCAGAACCATTTTACGGTGTTGGCTGGAGATAAGCTGATGGGTGTTCCGCATAGGTACAACTCTACGAACCTTAGGCATAGATATGTACTTCGGAAATATCTAAGGTGCATATAGTTACCCGATAGAGATATCTAAAGTAAGAATACGTAAGTCTGATGAGTATAAGCTTGATTTACCCAATTCACAATAAATCCTTTCCAGATATGTAACCGAGGTATGATACTACCATGTACCTACCTACCTACATATGCAATAGCGTACGTGTGCATACATGATAACAATGACTCGCCGTGAAGACGTAGGCATTACATTGTAACCCGGATCACCGAAGAAGTGACACATGGATGCACGCCAAGGGCGGAATGCCACGATCCCTCTATATACATACCTGTCATGTCTTACAGGACTGTTGTGGAATCTCTTCATTTTTATCTATGATAAGTAAGTAGTTGTACAAAAGATGTATTATGCCGTTACTTATTGATTTACTATTCCCCCTTTAAACTTAAGTAATAAGGTCAAATTTACCGTCCTGGTAATATCGGATTTGAAAATGGCTCCCAGATTTCACCCAAAGGTATGGCAGAAAGTTGAGAGAGACGCGTCGAGCCAACTTGATGTAAGTGGATCACGAACTTATAAACCCGTTCAATTTATTGAGCTTCATTACAGATTATAATCGTAGGTGCCGGGCTCGGCGGTCTTGGCGCAGCTATTTCTATACTTCTAGCAGGACATCGCGTGACCGTACTTGAAAGCGCATCTGAGATTGGCGAAATAGGTGCCGGTATTCAGGTCTTGCCTAATTCATCGAGAATATTAATTTCTTGGGGACTCGAAGATGAGCTTGTCAAGCATGCGACGAAGCCTCGGTACGCAAATATGATCGGCTGGAAGGGTAATAGATTATCAAGAATGGACCTCCATGCTTATGAGAAGGCTCTGGGTACCCCTTTCTGGGATTTCCATAGAGCTAACTTACACCGTTGCCTCCTCGATCGGGCTGTCGAGCTCGGAGCTGATATTCGCGTGAGATCGAGAGTCCAGACGATCGAATATGCCACGGATGGATTAACGGCAAGCGCAGTGTTAAGCGACGGTAGGATTATGTCCGCAGATCTCATCGTCGGCGCAGATGGCATCTCATCTCGGCTGCGCGAGGTTCTTCTCGGCAAGCCAGATCCCCCTTTACCAACAGGTGACCTTGCCTATAGGCTCCTCATCAATACCAAAGATATGCTGGCAGATCCTGAATTACGACACTTTATCCAAAATCCTCAAGTCAACTATTGGATAGGGCCCGATGCGCACGCGGTAAACTATGTCCTTAGGGGCGGGGAATTATTCAATATGGTCCTGTTAGTCCCGGACGATATGCCTGCAGCTGCCATGACTGTGGATGGGAACGTAGAAGAGATGCAAGCACTATACAAAGACTGGGACCCCGTAATAGGCAAGATCTTAAGTCTGTGTCAATCTGTTCAGAAGTGGAAGCTCTGCATACGACCTACTTTGGAACAATGGACACATGAATCGGGGACATTTACACTGCTAGGGGATGCTGTCCACGCAACACTGCCGTACCTCGCTAGTGAGTTGCATCTTATAACATTCCCCGATTTCCATACTATGAAGTCTCAATGTTCAGATATACTTTACTCATTTACTAACAACCCTCTACTAGGCGGTTGCGGCATGGCACTAGAAGACGGAGCGGCCTTGGGTCTCTGCCTTGCAAAGCTGACTAACAAGTCTCGCGAGCAAAAGTTATACGCACTTAAAGTGTACGAAGAGTGCCGAAAAGAGAGGACCGAGAGGGTAGTTGAAAGGGGTAATTTCCAACAGTACATGTACCACCTCCACGATGGCGAAGAACAGAGAGAAAGAGACAGGAGACTCGAAATGTTTGGGCGGATTGATGAAGAGTTATTCAAAAATCCGGAGGTTATCACGCAACCACGGTCAGAATCGGGGGATGATCCATTACCTTGGAGGTATTATGGCGTAGGAGGTTGGCTTTTACCGTATGACATAGAGACGGCTGTGGAGCGCAAATGGGATCAGACACGAAGGGAAAACCAGGCGCGCCCGCTACTATAGCTTACTTGGTATTATCACTATCATGAATCAACCCTCTTAAATTATCCTTCTTTTTTTTTTTTTCTCCTATTCATCTTCCTCGTCCAACCCAAACTCTCAAAGTCAATCCTAAGACACCGTACCTAAGGGGTATTTTTAGTGGAGATTTTATCTCTATAAGATAAGTGTGAAATCTAAGATGAGAATGATAGCATAGTGACACGCCTAGAGTGCAAGAAAATATAAATTTCCTATGAAGTATGCTCTATGTCTAAATGAAGATTTTCCAACACTCAGAGTGCATATGTGGCTAGCTAAATCTTACAGGCGATTAAAACATTAAGCCGTCTCTGCCGCGTAGATGGGGTAATCCGTGTATCCCTTCTCAGGAGGCACCGTAAAGTAGAAGGTCGAACGGTCATATTTAGTTAGTGGGATTCCGTCCGCGAGCCTTTGCGGCAGGTCGGGGTTCCCGATGAACCACCTTCCGAAGCAAACGACATCAGTGGCACCGGACTCCAGCTTCGGGACGGAGTTTTCCCAGTTGAAGCATCCTGCGCTGAAAAATACGACACCACCCCGTTGAAGGATGTTCCTGAATGGTAACAGCGAGACGGTGGGCTCTTTGTCGGTTTGAGTAAGAGACTCAACCTTTTTCTGCTCGTCTAAAACCTCATCGAACCGCGCCTCGACCCTACGATAAATGTCAGTGAGCCACTCGGGATATAATGGCATTGTCCATTTTCTCTTACATATGAACGTAAACCGGCCTTTGACTCGCAGGCAAATTTACAATTTGTTCGCATAGATAAGACCAGTGTTCTAATCTATTACTGTCCCTGGTAGATTGGAAGTAGTTCCAAGGGCTCAGTCGTATTCCCACCTTGTCAGAACCTATTGCGTCGCAAACAGCTCTCAAGACATCCAGGGGGAATTTGCATCGCTTTTCAATGGATCCGCCATATTCATCGGTCCTATCGTTGATGTTGTCGTGAAGAAATTGTTCCAACAGATAACCGTTGGCGCCTATAGTCCATGATAACTTGGTTAATCAAATGCCAACGACTATCGGGAATTTCCTCTCCCTTTCACGTACCATGAATTTCCACGCCGTCGAAGCCTGCTTCTACGGCTCGCTTCGCGGCCCCTGCAAAATCTTGAACAATAGTCTGGATCTCATCTACCGTCAGGGGCTTTGGGGGACTGGAAGCGCAGGACGTCCCTTCTAACCAAGAACCCTCCATGGGGCGACTGCTGGAGCTTACTGGTGCCCTCCCACCAATAAATGAAGGGGGAGAGGCCCGGCCCGTGTGCCAGATCTGCAAGAAAATGTACCCTCCCTTAGCATGGACAGCGTTGGTAACTTTCTTCCAACCCTCAATCTGAGAAGAAGTAAAAATGCCAGGGATGCCTGGATACCCCCCAGCATAGTGGGAGATATCGGTAGCCTCAGAAATCAGAAGTCCACCCTTTGTAGCGCGCTGACCGTAGTATTCCGCCATTAGATCACCGGGAACGTATATGCCATCGCTCTCCTTGATCCCTCGCATGCGAGTACATGGCGCCAGGGCGATGCGATGTTGAAGTTCATAATTTCCCAACTTGATAGGGGTAAACAGCTTTGTGTCCTTCAACGGCGCATATTTTTGAGACATTCTAGTATTCTCGTATGTAGGAATTTAATGGTCGTTAGCGATTCTCAGGAGATGTGCGCTTTGAAGAAGCTCGTCAAGTGTGACTTTCTAAGAGCTTTTACGCAGCCAAAAACCAAGAAATATGAGAATGTACGGAGGTTAATTATTGCATGATATTGTTCTCAGTTATCCTTTAGAGCGCAGATTAACTATCTACACTAACGGCCCAAACCAACATAATCCACCATTCAACGCCTGGTCGTAAGTGGGGATAGCTTCACGGGAGCTTGATGTCGGGCAACAGTGGGGTTGGTAATACTCGAAGTATGATCCTTGGTGGGGTAAGTACATTTATGTTATGTGTATGAATGGGGGAGTCAGGGGTGGTCGCCACGTATATGGACAGGTACAGATATATACCTTACGTACGTAAAGAAGGTATAGGCATATAAAATACATGTGAGTATGCAAGTAGGCAACTTATGTGCCCAACGTGTTGGTAGGTCGTACGGTGCATTTATAATAACATTAAATCATTCATGTTTATAGGGCGATGGATTATGCTTACATTTGCCCCTAGAGCACACACCAGAGCTCACCACCTGGGATCTTTATGCCCGAAACTTATGCCCGATCAGAGTGGGGGATGGCAATGAATGACATACTAAACCGTAGCTATGTTACTTCTACCTTGTACGATAGCCCAAACGCACCAGAGATATTCTGATAGCTATCAGCCATGTCTGTACATAGCTACTCCGAATAAGATGAATACCTAAGGTAGCCAGGACAAGAGGATAATCTTCAAGATTCATATTATCACCGTCTACCAATACCCTCGCCCTCTATTAGCTCTCGTGAAACTATGGCAGCAGCTGATATACTCCCGAAGCCGCCTATAACCGGGCTGCCATTCGTGCCACAGGATGTTCGCGCCCCGTCTGCTGCCGAAGCTCTCACGCCTCTAATACAGTCAACATATACCACCTCCGAGTTATGTTTTTTCGTCAACGGCCGTCGAGTTACGGTTTCGAATCCTAACCCTGATTGGGTTCTCCTCGACTGGATCCGAGCCCAGGGCAACTTAAAAGGAACCAAGCTTGGATGTGGCGAAGGTGGATGTGGTGCCTGTACTGTTGTCCTCCAGACCGTTGAAGAAGGCAGACGGTTAAGGCACAATGCTGTGAATGCTTGCCTTTTCCCCTTGGTCGGCGTCGATGGAAAAAGTCTGATTACTATCGAGGGCTTGGGCACCGTTGATCGCCCGCATCCTTTACAAGAACGGGTAGCAAAGATGCAGTAAGTTATTAGCCTGTCGTATAGCTTCGACCTATCCACCACTATTCTAATACTAGGGCTGCCGCTATGTAGTGGTTCTCAGTGCGGATTTTGTACCCCTGGAATAGTAATGAGTCTGTATGCACTCGTTAGAAATTCATATCAAAACGGAAAGTTCCGGCTTTCAGCTTCAGATGTTGAGCTACAAGGCCATTTAGATGGAAATCTTTGTAGATGCGTATGTGTCCGCTTCTATACTCGTGCTTCAATGTTATACTCAACTTATTCAGACAGGCTACAAACCAATTCTCGAGGCTGCCAAGACGTTTATTTTGGAGGATTTAAAAGGCGAATTAATCGAAGAGAACAATCCCTCCCCCTTAAGTGCTCACGAGGATGACGATGGTCTTCTGCAAACACCAGCAAATGGAAGTGGGTGCGGTTCTTCGTCCAGCGGCTCTTGCGGGCGTCCGGGGGGCTGCTGCCGCGACCCGTCGACGTCTTCATCTGGGAGTAGTGCCGACAGAGCATCCTCTCAGGAATCTGTTAATACACGAGCAACCTCTGTAGGTTCAGGTAAACCTACGACATCGTCTTTCTCGTTTATACCATACAACCCTACAGCAGAAATCATATTCCCGCCAGCTCTCTGGAAATATGAAGAACGGCCTATCTGTTATGGAGATGGGAGAAAGATTTGGTTCAAACCTACAACTCTAGAGCAACTGATGGAACTAAAAGATGCTTGGCCCTCTGCCAAAATCGTGGGAGGCGCTAGCGAGACACAGGTAAGGTCATATATACGTTCACGTCCCACTGTTCTAGGCGTTTCTTACGTGGAAATAGATCGAGGTTCGCTTTAAGAAGTCCGAATATCGGGTATGCGTCTACGCGTCGGACATCAAAGAGCTTAACAGCTTCAAGGGACCTAGTAGTGATGCTGATCTCAAGAGCCTTTCGGAAGTATCTATCCCAGGTAATATGCCGCTGACCAAGGTAGAAGACCTATGTGCCACATTATTTATAAAGCTTGGTGCTAGAGCAAGCGCACTTGAGGCACTTAGAAAACAGCTTCGATACTTTGCAGGCCGTCAAATTCGGAACGTTGCCAGTCTGGCTGGGAATTTGGCGACTGCAAGTCCCATCTCAGATGCTGCCCCGGCACTACTAGCAGCAGGATCTGTAATCACCATAAGATCTAAGGGAAAGGGCCCCTATGACATACCACTTTCGACGTTCTTCATTAAGTACCGGACAACCCAGTTGCCTCCCAACGGTATAATCACACACATCAAGATTCCACTACCACCACCAGAGACGTTAGAGGTAACAAAGGCATATAAGCAAGCAAAGAGAAGGGATGATGATATCGCGATTGTGACTGCTGGTTTCCGAGTACGTGTGAGTCAGAAAGGACTTGTCGAACAGGCGATATTCGCGTATGGAGGCATGGCACCAACTACCACAGTCGCGGCTGCGGCCCAGAAGGCTGTGATAGGGAAGCAATGGGCAGAGAGTAGCACGCGTGAAGAAGCTCTTCACGCTCTCTTGCAGGACTTTGATTTGGCATTTGGCGTACCAGGTGGAATGGCTCAGTATAGGAAGGGTAGGTCTCGGATACTTAGTTCCATGGCCCCTATTTGCTAACAACTCCAACAGTTCTCACCTTGTCACTATTTTTCCGTTTCTGGCAGGAGAGTATTGCAGAATTAGGTCTTGCCGAAATCAAAAGTGATGCTATTCAAGAGATACACCGGGGGATATCTTCTGGGACTCGCGACCACGTTGTTACTTCAGGCACCAATGTGGTGGGTAAAGAAATACCGCATCTTTCGGCCTTGAAGCACTGCACCGGCGAGGCAGAATACATCGACGACATGCCCCGGCAAAACAATGAGTTGTATTGCGCTCTCGTCTTATCAACAAAGGCACATGCAAAGATACTCGACATTGACTGGAGCCCTGCGCTTGAAATGCCAGGAGTTGTAGGTTATCTTGACAAGGACAGTTTATCGAGAGAAAACAATACATGGGGACCAATCCGAGTAGACGAGCCCCTATTTGCGGTAGACGAAGTTCATTCTCACGGCCAGACAATAGGTCTAGTCTACGCCGAGACGGCGTTGCAAGCTCAAGCTGCCGCCGCCAAAGTCAGGGTAACCTACGAGGTATTGCCGGCGATAATTACCATTAGCCAAGCTATCAAAGCCCAGAGCTATTTTGAGCATGGAAAGCAGTTGAAAAAGGGGGCAGCTATTCAGGGGCCTCTGGATGACGAATTCGCCAAATGCGAGCACATCTTCGAGGGGTTGACGAAACTAGGCGGCCAAGAGCATTTCTACCTGGAAACCATTTCCGCATTGGCGATTCCGCATATCGAGGATGGTTCCATGGAAGTCTATGCTTCCACTCAGAACTTAGCAGAGAACCAGATCTTCGTCGCTCAGGTACTTGGCGTACCAATGAGTCGCGTAAATATGAGGGTCCGACGTCTCGGGGGCGCTTATGGTGGAAAGGAGTCGAGAGTCACACCAGCAGCATGCCTTGTTGCCCTTGCTGCTAAAAAGGAGCGGCGTCCCATGAGGATAATGCTAAATCGCGATGCAGATATGTCATCTAGTGGGCAGAGAAATCCAATGCAATGCAAGTGGAAAATCGGCACGGATGCGAACGGAATAATCCAATGCTTCGATGCAGATATCTACTGCAACGCCGGGTATTCTCTAGACATGTCTGGCGCCGTCATGGATCGGGCCTGTACCCACATTGATAATTGCTACAATATACCACACGCCTGGATACGTGGATGGGTGTGCAAGACAAATACAGTATCGAATACTGCATTCCGAGGCTTTGGCGGACCGCAAGCGATGTACTTGGCCGAGTCATACATGAGTGTTATTGCCGAGCGGCTCAATATGGATATCGACGAGCTTCGGCTCAAAAATCTATATAAGCAAGGTGATTTGACCCCCTTTTTACAACCTATCGATGTCGACTTCCACATCCCAACCATGTTGGAACAGCTCAGCGCCAATGCAGATTATGAGAACAGGAAGAAGGAAGTCCGATTATTCAACTCTAGGAACCGCTATAAGAAGAGAGGGATATGTATGATACCTACGAAATTCGGACTCAGGTAAGCCATGTCATGGTTATTCCCGTAATAAAACGAACTAATATCATATCATAGCTTTGCCACTGCTCTACATCTGAATCAAGCTGGCGCATACGTAAGAATCTACGAAGATGGTTCGATCCTCCTTCACCACGGAGGCACCGAGATGGGACAGGGTCTATACACCAAGATGTGTCAGGTTGCGGCCGAAGAGCTCGGCGTGAGCGTAGACCAAATATTTAATAAAGACTCCCAGACCGACCAAGTTGCCAACCCATCCCCAACCGCCGCATCTTCGGGCAGTGATCTTAATGGCATGGCTGTCAAGAATGCTTGCGATCAGCTTAATGAACGCCTAGCGCCCTACAGGGAACAATTCGGACGGGATGCTCCAATGTCAAAGATCGCCCATGCCGCATACCGAGACCGAGTTAACCTTGCGGCCAACGGATTTTGGAAGATGCCCAAGATAGGGTATAAATGGGGAAATTATAAAGACCCCCTTCCGATGTACTACTATTTCACTCAGGGTGTAGCTATCACGGAGGCCGAATTAGATCTTCTTACAGGTGATCATACCGTCCTAAGAACGGACATAATAATGGTAAGTAGCCACTGGACCAAGACCGTAAATTCTGTCTAATAGCAAACTAGGATGTTGGTCGTTCTATCAACCCTTCAATCGACTATGGGCAAATCGAAGGGGCCTTCGTTCAAGGACAGGGTCTATTTACCATGGAGGAATCGCTGTGGACGCGAGAAGGTGAGATATTCACGAAGGGACCTGGGACTTATAAGATACCAGGTAAGTATCAACGAGTTTTCCCTCCGGAGGAGTTACGTATTGACATAAGCATAAGGTTTCTCGGATATCCCTCAAATCTTCAACGTGTCCATGTTGAGGCACGACTCGGAAGGAAATGCCATAAGCTGGAAGCATCTGCGCTCCATTCAGAGTAGCAAGGGTATCGGGGAGCCGCCGCTTTTCTTAGGTTCCACGGTATTCTTTGCCCTCAGGGAAGCAGTCAAAGCTGCGAGAGAGATGAACGGCGTGACGGAACCATTAGTTCTTGACGCCCCAGCAACAGCGGAAAAACTGCGCCTAGCTGTCGGCGATGAATTTGTCAAGCGCGCTGCTGTTGTCCCGAAAGAAGGAGAGACGAACTTCTTCGTTCGTATCGAGGATTAGACAATTATCAAGCACGCGATGGGTCTTGGGAGGTTGTAGGATTCACAGTATCATCAAGGATGCATATTTTCACGTAGTATATTATACGAAGGTCATGGATTGCATTACTAGGGGCCGTTTATCGTACAAAAACAGGATACGGCGGTATAGCATACTAGGGACAACAATTTGATAGCTTCGAGTTCCAAGAATTTACTGGATGTACTCGTGATTGGTGTATGGCGCTCTTCAACTAACATTGGGACTTGGTATCATACCTCATTACTCTTGGATTGATGAGAGAATAGCATTTCGAAGGAATCCCGTGAAACTCTCGAAAACTGCATGATCATCCCCCTGAAGCCAGCGGGCCACGATCGCCACCTGACCCCTATCATTCGTATCCCCCGAAGCCCGTATTGTTAATAAGAAACCAAACGTACTGTGCGTCGTGTCCTGTTCCACCTTTTGCTTCGGCTTCTTTTGACGGGACGATGAAGACTCATCTCCGGCGGTATCTCCCCTTTCTCTCGCCTTTTTCCTGCGATAGGTTCGACTCCAAACATTGCCATTGGCAAAACCTACGCCCTTTGACAACTGCTTGCTCCAGCTCCACGAATCCAGGTCAAGACCCTCCATCGTATCGCAAACGGCCCGCTCAAGCTGTTCCGGTTTGACTTGCGAACTAGATCTCACAACAACGGTCATCTCTGTAGGTTCCGGCAAGATCTTTTTCCCAGCCGAGGGCTCACAACCCCTACTGGCCGGTAGACTCGGCCTTCTGTTCCCGAAACTCCACCCAATAGCCCACCTGCGCGTCTTATTCCCCTGAACAAATGCCGTAAGAGCATAATTAGTCACGCCATGCCCTTTGAGGATGCCTACAAGCACTTCCAGGCTTGACTGTTTGCCAAGCATGCACGTATACCACTGCACCCTCTCTCGCAAGACTAGGGACTCATCAATCATCCGCTGGATAAAACCGATCTCGCCCCCGGCGCACACCATCTCGACTGGCGCGCCCGTGCACGCGGTATTTGGGGGCCGGGATTTCTGCTTAGCCAGATCTGTGAGTTCGGCCTCGGACGTGTAGAAGGGAGGGTTAACCATGGTGAAGTTAATGGTTTCCAGGCCTAGTTCATCCAGGGGGATAAGACAGTCCGTGATGGTGCGACCGACTACACGGATTCTGGATTGTAGGTTGTTTAGCTCAACGTTTTTGCGCGCGTAAGATAATGACTTCGCATCAACGTCGGTGGCGACGAATGACCATGACGGTCGCTGAGCACAACCTAGAAGCGGGTAGATGAGACTAGCGCCGGTGCCAATGTCTAACCCAGTTACCTGCCGAGCCCGATCGCTAGAGTTCAAGTACGGAGTCGAGGATGATGAGTCAAGAAGGTCCTTTAACCAAAGTATATAGTTATGCCGATTAGGTACCGGAGGGCAAAGTCGGTCCGTGGGCAAATCGACTGTCAAACTAAAATCCCGCTTGAGGAGGGTCTTGGTCAGTTGCATGACTGACTTAGGGTTATTAAAGTCGAGATGCGAACCGCGCTCCAACACGGCTTCAAATTCCGAATCGTGCTGTCCGAGCAGACGAAAGTCCAGGTCTTCCGTATAAAGCCTTTTGTAGTAATAGTCATCCCTTAGTTCTCTAGGTACCACTGGCCCCGAAGGACGGTCCTTATTAGTGACGGAGCATTCAATTGCCGTTGACGAAGAGGCCTCCCGGCCCACGAGAGTAGATGATTTATTGAAACCTTTTCCGAGTTCAAGTCCATCTTCATTAGTCAATTTGCGTTTTGTCCCACGCTTGGGGCCATTGTCCTGGTCTGACATATCCATCTCCTCTCCGTGTCTTAAAAAGCCGGTGCATGCTGATAGTGATGCTTGACTTTATGCTGCGAATAGAGACACGACAATTATATGGCTACCGCATGAAATTACTCGCCCCGTATGCATCTGGAGAACGGGTATCGAGACGCAGATATGTGATGTCGTTGCTGGGTGAGGCTAGGGAATGAATCAGTTCGATGGTGATAAACACGGGCAAAATTCCACAATGACAATTGGATATTAATTAGATATGAGGCACGTGATACCTACCTCCTGCTCCTTATCGGACTATCCACATAGCTTACGGCTACCGATGTATTATTTCAAGGCCGTCACATCGATATAACGACCGCATGGTTCATAGGAAAGTCGCGATGGGGAATTCAAATAACCAGAAGTCATTGAAAAAATCTTCAAGAATAATAGTAGCAACTACGCAAACTATTGAACGTCATTTAACAACTTTAGAGTATTGTCTCTCAAATACCTAGGTAGGGGTTAGCATGTCAAGTATGATTCCAATAAGCTATGGTGAACCATAATCGAATTAACTAGCAATCGCAAATCAAATGCCTTATAATAATAGTACAAGTTTGCTCGAAGCTACAAGCCGCCTTCGACCGTAGCTACCAGGCATCATTACCTAGGGCAACATATTTCTGCAGTACGCATAAAAATCCACTTATCCTCCCTTAATTTTTTTCTTCAGCTGTTTCCTCAACCTTCTCTCGTGACCTTTCCATGTGCAACAATCAGTAGCTATGGTAAAATGAGTCTGCCCGAGCTATGAGGGGGGGAAACAGGTAAATCTGCAAACATAAAGCGCCGTCCAAAGATTCCGCCATGTTAAAGGAGTTGCGCCTCCTCCTTATCAATACCGCGGCATTCGGCGAGATTATAGCCATTCGACCCGTCCGGACATCGGCGTATCGGGGCGTATTGCGAGGGCTGAAAAGATTTCGCTCGAGCGGCATGAAACTCTACGAATAACTTCAAAAACAAAGCCCCTGAAAGGCAATCCGAGAACACCAACCAACGCCAATCCATGTTTCCCTTATTAACACAGCCTCGTAGGAAGATACGCCGGGTTATCATGAAACGGCACTTGGATAATGCGTAAGTGCAAGTAGTACAAGGTTTAGAGGGCGTGGGGATTGATGCTCGGGTCTTCACACACCTCCGCCCATGAAGGCAGCGAGATCGTCTAACTCCAGCAGCTGGCGCTCGAACGCCACGCAAAGTTCGGCCGCGGTCATATCGTTACCAGCAGCCGGCGCGGATTCGGCCGGCTGTCCAGACGAGGAAGGTGCTGGGGACTCTGCCTTCGACTGGCCCGGCGGGGGGCTCGCGGTGGCCGGCGGGGACACACCAACCGATCCTCCGTTGATAGTGGTGAATCCGGACTTTCGTGGTGGCTCGCTACCTCGACTATCCGTCTGCTCTTGGGCATTCGCCGATTGCGGGCGCTCGTAATCCATGCTATCAGGGTTGTCCGGTTGACTTGCTGTGTCCTCTTTGATCAAGGGCACAATCGTCTCGGGCTGTGTTCTCTGAAGTGTCCTATCACCGTTCCGTAGGACCTTATTCATAACAGATAGATGGCGGTACCAGGGAACAGCCAAAATCCAAATATTAGCCCCATCTTGAAGAAAGCGCATGCCATCACGAACAATCGATTCGGCCGTTTCGTTCAAATCGCCGGGTGTCAATCCTTTTAGGCTAAACCAAGCCACAGTAGAACAGGCTGTAAAGCACGAAAACAACATGACTAAAGGGAAGTTGAGCACAGCATCTTTGTCCGCGTTAGATTCCAAGGCTAGTAGGAGCGATACCACGCTGTCAGCAGCTGCAAATACACGATCAACTGTCTGCAAGTGAACATGCGGCACCATACGCCAGGTCTCGTGATTGAATCCGTCAGTAGTAACAAGGTGAAGCAGCCTACGGCGGTTTACCATGATAGTAGCGCAATGAAGGAGGCAATGCAACATGGCGTATGTGAATCCACTACCCATCGTAATGTGTAGATTGATTTGCCTGGTCTTATTATCCATAAAGTGTGGTGGCAACGAATTGCGAACTGCTTCAATACCTGCCTCGAGAGAAGCACAGTCCTCTTCGGAGAAAGTGGCGCTCGTCACGGTAGTGAGCATTTCGACGACGTTACGCCAGGCCTGGGTTGCCATCACGATGTGGCCAAACTCGCCCACCTCAGAGATTGGGGTGGACGGCGTGGGAAGCGCCGGAGGCGGACCACCGGCGAGGGTACGAACATACACGGGCGTACCGAAGTTGTAGCTCATGTCAAGGCACGGAAGCGGAACATCCTTGATGTCATGGTGGGACACGGCCGGCTGGCGACCGGGGCTGCTTGTGAGGAAGCAATCCAACACATAAATAAGCCACAAGGTACGGCGAAATGATTCCTCCTTAATGAACTGATCCGGATCGTCTCGGTTCTGGTGAACCGCAATTATCCGATACATCTGAGCCATACGAGCGGCTTGGCCAAGGTAAATGTACGCGCGGACAGCATTGCGGTTACCCCATTCGTGGATGATCAGGAGGCAAAGAGCCTGAATATCCGCCAAGCTCGGGTTGTCGAGATTCTGCATGATTATATTGATAGCCTTGACAGCAAAATGCTCGGCCGCAGCCGAAGCACCTCCCTGGCCGCCATAACGACGAATCAAGGCGGGAGAGCTCCTATACGCGAGATAAATGGTTAGGTAAGCCCGGTTGACTTAAATAGATGTAACAAGGTATTTTCATAGGCGATCGGGAAGCCAGGTGGTGGCAAGGATTCGCGGAAAGGGAAAATCATTGGTGGATTAGGCGAAACGCGAATGCAACTCCGGAGATGAATGAACCATTCGCCCGGAATCCTTTCAGAAGTGGATAAGGCGGGTTCCGGGGAATTATGTTCAATAAACGGGGAGACAGTATGAAAAATGAGAATGTTTGCTTACCGTGCAGCACAAGTCAGAAGACCGTTAACGATGCTAGCCTCGAGGGTGCCATTCTTAAGCTTCTGCAGGAAGGAAGGTTTGTGAAAGGCGACACAAGACGGAATAGTCTTGCTGATTACCCTCTCACATTCCGTCACCAGTTCCGGATTGAGTCTGTGGGGACGGACGAAAATACGTGTTAGTGGATCCGATCAACGCGAACGAAGTTTGGGGGAGGACAAGGGTGTTTGGATTGAAATAGGAGCGCGTTTTGGGGGTTGCAGGGACAAACGGAGTATGGAGGCAGAAGAGCAGAAGGGCTGGGCAGGATGGGCAGGATTGGGGGCTTAGGGAAGAGACGCTGGAGATGCCGAGGCGAGAAACGAGGCAACCGGCATCCATCCCATTCACAGCCACCCAGAATCAGACTAGTGGTTGAATGTTGGGGGGGTGATTTGGCCGGCTGCACTCTGCCTTGACCGACGACGCCAGGGAGCACGGATCACCAAGTACCAGAATCTGTTCGGAGCGCGTAGCTGCCGCCAACCTGGGTCAAGACCGAAACACCAGGATGCCCCCGTAATAACCCGTAACAATGACTGGAGGCCATAAGGGAGTAGAGGCATCTCGGGGAAGGGAAAAGAGAAGAGGACGAATAGTAAGAGAAATTATGATGACGTCGATAAGAAAAAAAGGAATAAAAGATAACTCACTTCTCGCTATTGGTCTGCATACTGCGCGGCAAAACAGTGCCGGACGCTACAGGCTGGCGGTCGCTGGTTGCCGACACGCTTCGCTCTCCAGGTAGACTCTCACGCGGGCGAGGAGGCCTTGCCGGTGATTGACCATGGTGATGAGCCATACTCTCCGAAGGTAGATAACATTCGTGCATCCCCTTGGCACAGTTCCTGCATGGTGCGCGACCATTCTCGTAGACACACTTCGTTTTTCCCTTGCGACAACGCACACAGGCGCCGCCGGCTCTGAGCGACGTGCCGCGGACGACAGACGCCATGATGAGTATTAGACCAAAGATGTATCGCAAGTGAGAGAATATATGACGATGCTATTCCGGATAATAAGGCGACACTCCGAATGCAGGTCCGGCAGAAGATGATAGAGAGATGGAAGAGTTATTTGTGTAGACGGAGAAGACGGGAGGCGGTGGATGTTCGGTGCGGGTGGATGGGAAATTTTTTAGTTGTGTAAGTTTCGGTCGGAGTGGAGGAGGGGGCTTCTTAGTGGGAAGGGAAAACTAGTAGGTGGAATAGGTAAGGAAGAAGAGAGGAAAGGGAAAAAAAGGAAAATGGAACTTTTTTTTTTCTTGGAAGGATAGAACCTGGGTGATGGCGCTCTGGCGCGAAGCCGCTGGAGAGGGATGTTGCAGGAGACGGGGCAGGACGGGAGGGAGAACAGAAATTAAGACGGACCAGACTCGGGCGTTTGCGCTAAAAATCAGAGCGCGCACCTGAGCCAACCTCGAGCACTGATGATTTCCAGGCGGTCAATTCGGGGGAGGGGTGTAAAGCGCGGCCTAGCCCGGCTCTTTCTTCCTTAGGTATCTCGCACTTCCCTCCTTCTGCCCTCTCTCTTTCTTCTTGTGTACTTTATTTCCCTTGTGGGGGGGGCCACAACCGGGGATTCGCCCGTGCGGCAAGTGCTCACCAGACGCGTTTGTGAATGACGTTTTATTTTTACTTTATTCAATTTATTTAACAGTCGAGTACTTAAATAATACACGTGCATTAAAATAGAAGAGAAAAGGGAAAAGAGAAAAGAATATTATTTTCTCTGTCAAAAGTCGATCGACCGGAGACAGGCTGATGAAATCCTTAAACTCAAACATGTTTCCCTGGAGGGGGGCTTTTCGGCTCCACGGCTCCCGGCGCTGGTCGTCTCTTTCGCGTGGGAGTTTACCAATTTGGCTAGGCAATGGTACGGGGCCCTCCCGTACTGTCTATACATACTGTGACAGCGCAATACGGGAAGGGAGGCGTGAACACGTACTTCGTAATCCGTCCGCGCCCGTACTTTCTTTTATCTTTTTTCTAACTCGGGCGACATTACTTTTTATTTTATTTTTTTTACTCTTTTGCCTCCCCTCTCTCTCATGGCAATTGTAATCCACATACTTTTTAGTTACGTGAGAACGGGCTTTTGCGCATTGTATTTGATGGGAAACGAGGTGTTCCTTAAATCATATTGGGTAATCTAGTTGGGTGGGTTTGTTCATTTTGCTTGTTTCGTTACCGCTTTCAAAGATAAATCCGAAATA